GCAGAGTTTGATAAATTCTTGTGCACTATAAATATTAATTCGAAGAGTGTCCACAATAAAAAGGATGTCTCGAATAATATACGCTACACGGTAGGTGAAGTGTGGGTTTGTGGAATGTGACTGGGGTTTTGTATGGGAGGTACCTCTTCAACATTGCGTTAGTTTGCGTTTGGGTTTGGACGGCGCAGACGGCACGAGCGCAGGACGACGATGAAGATCATCGACAAGATCAACGACAAGATCGAGAAGAAGGAGGCGTTCTACTCGTTCGAGTTCTTCCCACCTAAAACCCCTGCTGGTGTCACCAATCTGTACTCGCGCATGGACCGCATGGCGTTGTTGGAACCGCTCTACTGTGATATGACGTGGGGCGCGGGTGGCAGCACGGCCAACAAGACCATCGAGCTCAGCGCCAACGCACAAAAGTTGAGCGGTCTCGAGATGCTCATGCACTTGACCTGCACAAACATGCCCAAAGGTAGCATCAAGAACGCGCTCGACTCGGCCAAGGACGCAGGGATCCAGAATATTCTCGCGTTGCGTGGGGATCCGCCGCGCGGCCAGACCGAGTTCAAGGAATGCGAAGGTGGGTTCTCATTCGCGATCGATCTCGTCAAGTACATTCGAGAGGAGTACGGGGACTATTTCTGCATTGCCGTTGCCGGGTACCCTGAAGGGCACTCGGACGCCGACGACCTGGACACGGACATTTTGCATCTCAAGGAGAAGGTTGACGCCGGCGCAGACTTCGTCGTGACGCAGTTGTTTTACGACGTGAAGAATTACCTCAAATTTGTCGACAAGTGCCGCGCCGTTGGTGTGACTGTCCCGATCGTGCCAGGGATCATGCCCATTCAAAACTACAATGGCTTTGTGCGCATGAGCACCATGTGCAGCCACGTCCCTGAGGAGGTACTTTTCGTCGATTCGCCGTCGGCGGCGGCTCATCTCGTTCGTCGTAGATTCTCCAAGCTCTGGAACCGATCAAGGACAACGACGAAGCCGTCAAAGAATACGGCGTCCAACTCGGCATTCACATGTGCAAAGAGCTTCTCGCGCAGGGCGTGCCGGGGCTCCACATCTACACGCTCAACTTGGAGCGGTCCACGCGACTGATTCTAGAAGGCCTTGGCTTGACCGCCACCGCCCGCCGCGAACTCCCTTGGCGACCGGTGCGTCTTTCCAACTTGACTGTCCGACTCAACTGGTTGAGTGTAGTCGACGCTCGCCAAGCGCGCCGGTGAATCGGTTCGTCCCATCTTCTGGGCCAACCGCCCCAAGAGCTACTTGGACCGCACGGCCAATTGGGACGAATTCCCGAACGGAAGGTGGGGGTCGAGCGAAAGCCCTGCGTTCGGCGAGCTCAACGAGTCGTACTACTTGCATGCGACCGCGTCGGTGCAGGAGCGCAAGGCAATGTGGGGCGAAAACCCCGTCACTTACGAAGACGTGTACGAAACGTTTACCCGCTACGTCATGGGCGCCGTCAAGTCGCTTCCGTGGTGCGATACCCCCCTCCATCTCGAGACCAAGTCGATCCAGGAACGCCTTGCTGCCGTCAATCGCGCCGGGTACCTCACCATTAATAGCCAGCCACGCGTGAACGCGGCGCCGTCGGACGATCCCATGTTTGGGTGGGGCGGCCCCGGTGGCCACGTGTACCAAAAGGCGTACGTCGAGTGCTTCGTGTCGCCGGAAAACCTCAAGCGCATCATCGAGAAATGCAACAAGATGAAACACGTGCAGTACCATGCCGTCGACGTGCACGGCAACTCGTACTCGAACTGCGGCAAAGGCACGACTGCCGTCACGTGGGGCTCGTTCCCGAACAAGGAGATCCTCCAACCTACGATCGTCGACACTGACAGCTTCATGGCGTGGAAGGACGAAGCCTTCAGCTTGTGGTTGTCCATGTGGGCGTCGCTGTACAACGACGAGTCGCCTGCGCACGCCCTCATCCACCAGATCCGAGACACGTTCTTCCTCGTGAGCATCGTTGACAACAACTTTGTCAACGGCAACATTTGGGACGCTTTTGACGTGGACGTCACGACCTCCTCTGCCTCCGCTGCCGGCGCTTAAGTGAGCCCACCAGCGCGGGTTTCGACGTCGTGTCGTTTGGCGAATGGCTCGAAGCAACCCCTCCTCGATTTGGTTCGAGCAGGATCCATGCTTCTTCCCATCTCCCCATCTACCTCTCCACCGTCCCACCGTTAGAATCCCTTATACACCCATGTTGTCTGGCGCGTGCCGTCGGCATTCTTCCTGTTTCGCACGAATTCCGTATAATTTCTCTTTATCCGGATACCTTGGCGGGGAAGTTTAAAAATCCGATTTCTGCATTCTGCTGCTCCATCGTCGAACGAGTCAGCAGGCACGATCTCCACCGGCGGCGTCCTGGTTGTCGCGCCGCGCCATGTTCACGATCTCCAAGTCTTCCTCGTCATCCTTGCGCAATGATTTGTCGCCAATGCTGTGGTTTGACACCCTTGTTTCCCCAGAGAGTAGGTCGTCTTTTGCCGCAAGTGACGACTCTGACGACTGCGAACGTTGGATAGGTGTTGTGGATTCTAAACAGCACATGCCGGACTACCAATACACGGTCACAGGCCAAAAACGAATTAAGAAGCGAGAGAGGATACAGCTTGGTTGCCCCGTCGTCGTGAATGGCAAGAAACTCGCAATTTTTCGACATGGCCCGCGGTATTTTGCCATCCAGCAATTTTGCCCTCATGCTGGTGGGAACCTCGCACTTGGCGACATTGAAGATATTGACAACATGCTCTGCATCACGTGTCCGCGACATAAATGGCCATTTGTGTTACTCTCTGGCGATTGCTTGGTCGGTGAAGCATGGAAAGCCGAGCATTTCCCTGTGGAAGCGCGGCCGGCACAGCCAGGATTGCCCGCGACCTTGTTCATTGGGTTTCCCCAATTGAACAATTCCCTTTTTTACGAAGAAGACTTTTAACTGCACTTGGCTGCCATCGAGCTGCTCCAAGCCTCACATGCCCAACTTCTCTATAACGGTAACACCTAAACATAGCAACACAGCAATATTCGTCCACGTCATGCCAAGTTGTTTCTGCATGGGTCCGGTCAAGAGCATATTCGTGGCGACACCAGCACCGCCAGTCCTCCCTCCCTTAGGAGACCACGAAGTCCTCCACACGTCTCACGGCGTTGTTGCAAAATCGACAGCGATTTCGCCAGCAACATACATCCATCTCCCTCGCTCAGCGGTCAAATCGTCGTCACCCACGTCCCTGCTGGACCAACACCATCAACAACATCTAGTAGTCCGTCCAGGGCTGCAGAACACCACCGGCGCCGCCCATGTCCTCTACGTGGCCCGATGATTCCCTGACGCTCTTGTAACTCCATCGCTTCCAAACACTTGTTCAATCACCCCATCTTGTTAGTAGTCGTACACGCTCAGGGGTTTCTTGTGGGGCGCGCCCTCCATCTTGTACACGGCGGCAACACCTGCCGTCGTCCCCAGCACCAAGTGCTTTTGATCAAAGCACACGGACGTATACTTGAATTTGGCCGGGAACACGCCGTGCGGATACATTGAGTACCACCGCCACACACACGCGATGCCATCCTTGGACACGGTGATCAACTTGCGCTTGTCGAACTGAACACTTGACACCCCGATCGACGACGACGCAAACGTGCACAGCGGCTGCTGCGTGCGCACATCCCATGCCTGCAAACCGCCATCCTCAAAGCCGGCGACGACGGCCGTCTCGTCCATCTCGAGGGCGCTGACACGGCCCCGACACAGCGCAGACTTGGGGCACACTTTGGCGGACTTGCCACCCCACCACCGAATCGACCCGTCTGTACCGGCGGTCCACAGCACGCGGCCTTTTGTACCCGTCTTTAGGATCGCATCTGGACACCAAATCAAGACCCACATCACAGACGAGAAGCATGGATGTACCGGGATGGCCGCTGAGGCGATGCGTGAGCTTGCCGTTGCGGAGGTCGAAGATCCGCACGAACCCAGCAGACGTCCCGCACACCAATGTGTTGCGAATCAACATGAGGCTTGTCACTTGCGGCCGCGACTCCCGCGCCATGCGCGGCAGCGTCGATGTGTGGATGCTATCGGGAAGAATCAACAGACATACCAGCTAGAAAAGGTACCGTTCGGGACCAAGAGAGAGGACGATTTCGCTTTTCGTAGCGTCCCAAACGTGGACGTCGCCCTTGTCGGTCGTCGCGGCGGCCTGCAGAAACGCGCCGTCGCTCACGTCAATTTTCACCTGCGTGATCCGGTGCGTCTGACTCGACCGCGTGCGCAGGAACGACGTCAGATTCATATGGCTACGCAGCGCAAGCGTTGTTGTGGGAGGAATGATCATCAAGCGCGGGTTCAGCGAAGATGCCGACGCTTCAGACATCCGCGACAGCCACGTGGCGAAGTCCCACACTTTCACCGTGCCATCGACAGTCCCAATGGCCAACGCGGTCGAGCACACGTCAAAACATGCCGCCGACGCCAGCGCAATCGTCCCGCATAGCGCGAGATCTTTCAGTCGCCACAAATAGAAGAACCCGCCATCGATGGTTATCCCTCCAGAGAGTACCTGGGCGAAATGAGTTGAAGGAAGGCAGTGGACGGGACGTACATGAGATGCCCCCGACGTGCCGTCTATTTCGCTGTCGATGAGCTTGACCGTGTGAAACGCATTCTTCACAGTATCGCTGGACTGGTCGCCCTTCGCCTTGGAGTCGTCCACGAGCACGTCCGGCAGTTGCAGCAGCCTCGGCGCCTTCTCCATCCTCCTCTGCTCGTAATACATCCCCTTCAGCTCGTCAATATAGTCCTTGATGGTGGACCGATCGCTTAGCAAACATCCGCGAATTGTCGGTGGCGACCCGCGGCGATTCACATTGCTAGTGTTCAACACATTCCATGCGAGGTGCATCCACAGATCATCCGCATGATGCCGACTTACGGTGATGGAACATCCATTTCTGTGTAAATGTACGATGCGGCTCGTCGAAAGCACGTTGCGAGGATCGGTCCTTTCGGTGTCTGCGCGAGCTCTTCCCACACTGCCGGCCGCATCAACGCCTTCGTCCACATCGAATTGACATACACTGTGATGCAGCATGAGCACGTCCAATTAACAAACCAAGAAGAACAACGATAGCCTCGACATACCCATGGACATGGCGTCTTGTCGCGGCAAGAAACTGATGGTGTTCGCCAGGACCGCCGCATCTGCCAGCACTTCCTCCATGGTTCGCAGACAGGGCGACAAGATGACAACCTCAACGGTAACACTAGATACTGTCAGAATTGATACGTTGCCATTAAATTTCAGATGTGTGACTTTCCATTTAAATTCAGCTGTTTTGCTTCGTCTTGTAAATTACAGTCTTTTTCGACCATAATTAAATCAAGACATGAATGAAAATATATCAAAAGGTATCAATTCATACAGGTTGATTTTTTGAGCAGAAGAGCATGAAGTTTCAATGCGCACGAGTCCTGCGCGGCCATGACGGCCCAGTGTTTGCCGTGCGATTCAACGGTACTACTTCATGCACGTCGGTGCATGCACTTCACGAAATAGGGCGATGACGGTCTTGCTGAGTAGAGAAGGGAACGTACTGCATGAGCTGTGGGAGCGATCGCACGATCCGGTTGTGGAATCCACATCGGGAAGGCACCGAAGGTACAGGGTCAGCTCTGTTGATCAAGACGTATCGTGGGCTACATGGCTACGAAGTTCGCGATGTCGCCATGTACGCACATGTCCATGCCTACGTTTAGTCTCATATCTGGATGCAGTGAGAAGGACAATTCCATGTTTGTTTCATGCGGCCGGGACAAAGCAGTGTTTCAATGGGATGTGTCGTCCGGCAAAACCATTCGAAAGTTCGAGGGTCATACGAGCGTACTTACGTTTCTCTTGCCCCTAAGCTTGCTTGACACGTTGGGTTGTAGAGTGTCAATGCGGTGGAGTTCAACGAGGACTGCACCGTCCTTGCGTCGGCATCTTACGACAGCACCGTTCGTCTCTGGGACGTCAGGTAACGAGGGTACCAAGGCAGACCATGCAAGCTCATGTCTTCTCTAGGGCTCGAAATTCATTTGTTCCGATTCAAACACTCGATCATTTCACAGACAGCGTCACGGCCGTCCGCGTGGCGGACCATCAAATCATCGCGAGGTACCGACCCAATCTCGAGTCCGCATGAGCTACACATGACGGAATTGCATTCCACCAGCTGCGTGGATGGCTTTGTGCGCACGTACGACCTCCGCGCCGGGCTCGTCACCGAAGACAACCTCCATCGTACGCTCGCCTTGTTGAATCGGCTGGCATGACCCAACTTTCCTTCGCAGACCCGGTGACGAGTCTCGCCATGACTTCCGACTTGAACTGTATCGTCGCGTCCACGACGAAGGGCCGCCTGCGTCTCTTTGAGTCCAAATCTGGCATCGAACTCAACTCGTTCGTTGCATGTCGGTGCATCCGTGGCTGACTCGGCGGCTGTAGGTTCCAAGGACACGTCGTTGGAGGCTATGGTCTCGACTGTGCCTTCTCGCACGACGACGCAAGTGTGCTGAGTGGCTCGGAGGATGGCCGAGTCGTCATCTGGGACATGCTCACGAAGGACTGTCGGCAATCCTTTCACGCGCACGATCGCGCTGTACGGACCATCGCGGCACATCCCTCCGAAGCCATGGTGCTCACAGGGTCCGTCGACAGCACTGTGAAAGTATGGGAGATGGCAACCTAGCGCAGAAGGGGGAACTGCCACAACGCGCAAACGAGCAAATTTAGCGGATCTCGACGACATCGTCCTAAGAAACCGATGCACTTGATGTTCACAACAATTGTGCGTCGACAGAAGTGCCAAGGCGGATTGGCTAAGATAACGTGTAGCGCAACCCTGCGACTGTCATGAGGAGCTCGTTGGCAGACTTCTTGGACTCCTTCTCGGTCGCGAAGAGCGACGCATATACAGGGTTCCGTTCCTTCTCGTGATTCACGGCGGCCTCGGCCTCGTTCACGGCCTGCAACTTGCTCTTGGCTTTCTGGATTACGGGAGGCGGTGCATCGTCCAAGGCCAATGGCGCATCCTCTCGTTTCCGCTTCAGTGGTTTCTCCGTTGCGCGAATGGACTCCAACACGACGGCCGCATCTTCGTCAGACAGAAGCAATGGCCACAGTTCCTTGGACGATTTGATGGGGAAGCCGCACATGAGGCAGTCCTTGGGCTTCACTTCCTTCAGTGCCTTTTCAGACAAGACACACCCGCACTTCTTAAGAACAACGAAGCGATGGGCACCGTTGAACAACTGCAGTGTGATGGGACAGTGAAAGCGATATCGAGTGGCTGCGCGCTTCATGTTGCTCTTCTCTGACGCGAGCTTGGCCTCGGGAGCGGGGTAAAACTTGCAAGTCACCACATCCTTCATGGAACGAATGTACGAAAACTTCTCGGGCAGCGACCGCTCCAGCAATTTTTCGATGAGCCGATCCTTGTTGAACAGATTGCCCAACTTGCACGCGACAATCGGCTCCTGCAGCGGCTCGTCGGTCAATGCACACATCGTCGTGCGCTTCTCACGCAGCGCATCCTGATCTCCTTTTTCGTCCCGCTGCTTTTGGTGGCCATGCCGCATGAACTTGCGCGCCACGGCGATGACTCCTCCATCGTTCCCCATGAGGTCTGGGTTTGAGCAACACCACGTCCCAATGCAACTACTTCTCGGCCATCCGGATAATAATCCGCATGTTTCTCAAACAGGATTGTTCGAGACTCCTTTCCAAAAAATCAAGCGTCTTCCGCATCCAGGTCCACAGGCATGATCATCGTTGGCGGCGTGCCACGTCGGTCACGATAGCTAAGGATATGATTCAACGCACGGTGGTCGCTTGGAATGTGTAGAGGCAACCCCCGAGAAGTCGTGTTTGCTTCCAGTGCGGGTCGCCCTCACCCTCTAGACAAATTTCGACTCGTTCTGCGAATGCACCGCCATGACAAGCGCCAGGTCCAGTTGTGGACGAACGAGCGAACTGATGCACCCATCGACATGACGAAGATATCGAGCGCACTTCAGTTTCGCAAGTCGTGACAGCACCCTCCCTGTTTTCTGCATTGCTAGCCTGCATATCCGACGACGGATTTTCCGACGACGGGTGTCGTGATCGACTCAGCCGATTGGAATTTTCAAATCACTTGCGCCAGTCACAAGTGCTTTTCCATTACAAGAGCCTACTGATCCAAGTGGACGATGGCGCGGATGCAGTCGCCGCTGTGCATGGCATGGAACGCTTCGTTGATTTCGGCGAGAGGGAAGTGATGGGTCACAAACTCGTCGACCTTGACTTCCTTCTTGAGGTACTGTTCGACGAGAGCAGGGACGCCGTCACGACTTTTGTACCCGCCAAAAGCTGATCCCGCCCAGCGACGTCCAGTCACAAGCTGGAAGGGGCGAGTGGCGATTTCGACCCCGCTGGCGGCAACGCCAATGATGCAGCTCTGGCCCCATCCCTTATGGCAGCACTCGAGCGCAGCGCGCATCGTCTCAGCCAAACCAATGCACTCGAACGTGTAATCGAGACCGCCAAAGCCGTCTTCGACTGTCAAGTCGGTCAATACCTGCTGGATGGGTGCCGTGTGGTCCTTGGGGTTGACGCATTCGGTCGCACCAAATTCCTTGGCAATTGCAAACTTCTTGGGGTTGATGTCCACGGCGATGATGCGACGCGCGCCAGCCGCCTTGCATCCCATGATGACCGCCAACCCGACGGCGCCGATACCGAACACGGCCACCGTCGAGTTCGGTTCCACTTGCATCGTGTTGAGCGCAGCACCATAGCCCGTTGTAATCCCGCAGCCCAACAAGCACACCTTGTCCAAGGGAGCAGACTTGTTGATCTTGGCGACAGAGATTTCAGGGAGCACGGTGTATTCAGAGAACGTCGACGTTCCCATGAAATGGTAAATTGTCTGGAGGAACGCTGGATAAGCGAGTGGATGAGAATGGACTGAGCTACCTCTCCATTTCGCTTGCACGTGAAGCGAGAGGTGCCGTTGGGCATCAACCCACGGCCTTGAGTGGAGCGAATGACCGAGCACAAGTTGGTCTTGTTGGACTTGCTATGTCAACATTAGATTCCACTCGCATCAGTGGATGCATTCCCACCAGAACTTGCAATTGCGGCACTGCGGCGTATAGCAAGGGATCACGTGGTCGCCCACTTGAACAGACGTCACGTTCGCACCAATGCTTTCCACTACACCAGCGCCTTCATGACCCATGATGCACGGGAACAACCCTTCGGGATCTTGACCCGAGCGAGTGTACTCGTCAGTATGGCACACTCCCGTCGCCAAGATCTTAATGCGCACTTCTCCTTCCGCAGGAGGGCCCACGATTACGTCTTCCACGACGAAATCCTGCTTGGCGCCCCAGCACACAGCAGCCTTGCACGTAATCGGTTGCGCGGTCATTCTCCTTGAGATGCAAAATCCCTTGTGCAAACTTCCTCGGCATTCTTCGACCGCTCGTTATCCGGACTGCTGTCCCCTATCCGTACGGCAATGAGATCTGACGTTGGTCAGCCAGCCAGCCGGCCACGGCGGCTCAACTGGGAGCTCCAGAAGCGAGCCTCGTCACAAGCATCTCGCGAGTCCAAGATGGAGCTCTCTCACAGTCAGTTTCCCTTTGTACTTGTCGCTCGTGCTGTGACTGCTGTACCTGATTGAAGCTTTGATGGACGAAGTGGTGACCCATCCTCTCAAGAAGCACGATCGCTCCTAGGAGGATGCTAAGACATCCCATCGCGACAGAGTGCAAACAGGACTTCTTGGTTGTGCGCTGCAGAGTTCAAAAAGTATGGGAAGCCCATTGCGCTGTTCACACTAAAAGCCAGCATCGTTTCGGTGGTTACACAACAAGTTGGATCGCGTTGAAATCGTGCCGCGGGGTGTTTGTTCTGCGTGCTTTGTGTCAACGATTTTGATTTCTCCGCCGTGGACAAGATGGCTGTTGTAGGGCTGCGGACGAGCAGAAGGTCGCCCACCAAGCCACTTCAATAAATCATGGGCCATGTGGATGGAGGAAAAAGTTGATCCTCAACGACTTCGCCGACGCTGAGTCGTCTCCAGTTTGGACGAACGGTCCACATGTCCGCAGAGAGCCCAAGCAGCGCATTTTCCTCCCGACCAACGCGCAATGTTCGCCAACCTTCCCACGGCTTCAATGACCACGAAGGCGACTGCCTCGCGAACGGCGCTATAACATCGCTGAAAAGCAAATGTCAGGAGTCTATATTTTGAATCGTATGCATCCACAAACAAGCCATTTGTATTGTCAACAAAACAAATTCTATAAAAAGAACTTAACATTCATAATATTTGTAATTTGAAATGCGTTTGCAGGCCAGCGCCAAGACTTAGCCAAAGCCACTCACTGCCCATCCAGCACCACCACAACATGACCTACGAATGCGAGCGGGTCGAAGGCTCACGATGACGGCGCGCCGGCAACGTCACACCAAGCCCCCAACAGGTTTGGCTCCCTCCATAGCATCCAATCGCGGGTTGCAAAAGAGGCAGTTCGATGCAGGCGGTGTGTCCAAGAATGGCATCGCCATTCCCTGCCGCGCTGAGGTGGCAAGCATTGCATCCCGTATGCAATTCAACTGCCGCGCGACGACCGAGCAATCGCCGCGTTCGTTGATTTGGCGTGACGTGCCGCTTCAAAAACTCGTCCCGTCGAATCGCAATGTTGCCTGCTGGTTCGTGGTCGCCGTCCCACGGCTGTACTTCGAAGTACGGTCACATGGACGCTGACCAGTTCGTATGTCTGTTTTGGTGGCGCTGACAACGCTCTCACCCCTCTCTCGTTGAAACTAGGACTGACGTTGCCATGACGCGGTGCGCTCAAACTGTCCGGGAGCGAGCAATGACACCGTCACCTCCGACAGCCATGACGACTCCTTTCGTCGTGGGCTCCATGCGACGTCGACTTCGTCGCCTCGATTCGGGTCATCGACAAAAATAGCGACGTGACTTGTCAAAGAAAACCAGCGCAGGTCGGCAGGACGTTAAACTCGACCTTGGAAAAACGCACCCTTGGATGGCGCCGAAAAAATGGAAAATAAACGTACTTCTGGATAAAACGCACATGTTTGAAGTTAAAACGGGAATTGCAGTCAGTTTATAACTTCGAAAGGCGAAGCATTACACAGGACCCCGCAACATCAGTGCTGAGCTGACGGCACCCGAGACGGCAGCCCTCCCTGGCCACGTTCGAGTCGTCCTTTTCCCTCGTCCACTTCGTTGCGTCGACGGCCATCCTTGGCGAAATCCAGGGCATGTCCTATGATCACGTCGATGCACAGCAGCAGCACCTCCATGCCATGTCTGCGTACGGCGGCAACGGAGGTAGCTATCCACAACACTACGACCACGTCGCCATGGTCATCCCTTCTCCCTTCGACCCACATCCCAACCACCAACAGCCCCATGCAGGAAGCCACTTGTCTTCATCTACGACCCACAGCGTTACCATGCACCACCCACACGGCATGCACGAGCAACCTAGCCATGCCAAGCACCATCCCAACACCCATATGCACCACCAACATCCTCCGACTCAGCAGCTCGCGTCGTACACGTCCTTCCAGTCCAACAACCCCTACGAATCGACCATGTCGCTCAAACGAAAGTCCCCGATGTTCCAGGGCAACGACCAGTCGCCGTCGCCGTATGCGTTTGTCCAAGCAGCCGCCTCCATGCCAGACACCCACCTTCCTTCGGCTCCAACGCATCATATACCTCCGACATCGCCGCTCGAGTCGTCGTCGGTCTGCGACCTTTGCAAGCACTCGGACCCGATACTTTACATTCCAGACTGTGGCCACACATTCCACTCGCGATGTATTGGCGAGTGGCCGATGGTGACGTGTCCCACGTGCCATGGCGGCGTGCCCAAAGTTGCTGTCGTCCATGTCGACATGCAGACCAAGACGGTCCCGCGCAGTGGCAAGTGGACGAAGCAAGAAGAGAAGTTTGTCAACTTGATCGTGGACGAGTTTGACCATGGGACGTTTCCGCTCGCAAACGGTACCCCCGTCCGCCTCGTCCTCGCCAAGCTCCTCAATTGCTCGCCCATGCGGTTGTCCAAGAAATTTCAAAAGAACGCGCTTGGAAAACGGACGTACCGTGTGCCGAAATCGACCCACGCCGCGCCAAACGGCTCCCGCATTTGCTTTGACGCGGCGACGCACCAGGCGCGGCAGATCGAGTTCTCCGCGTCCGAGCAAGCATTTCGGGAAGAAGTCGTGCTGCTCCAGCGAAAAGACAACAAAATGGACGGCCACATCGAAGTTCGAGACCTCCGCCTGGCTGTTGTCCAGTTTTGGGTGGCCAACTTCCTCAAGTTTGCCCTCTCCGTGGGCCAGCAAGTCGACGGGCTCGACACAACCGAGCCCAAAAAGAAGAAGCAAACCATGCAGAAGCTGCGGGACGGCATGTTTGACCAAGTTCTGTCGTGGGCTGCGTCCGAGAAGAAGGAAGCTGCCGACGGGGCCATGACCCACAGACCGTTGCCTCCTCCCACGTCCCATGAGCCGCCACAGCCATCGACCCCGTGGGATGAAACCTACTTTAAGAGCGAGAGTTTCAAACCCTACGGCCCGATGGACAACGAAAACTACTCTGTCGACGACCCGACTGACCACAACTATGACGAACCCGTGCCGTTCCACAACCACGAGTACAAGCTCCCCCCGCACGCACCTCAACCGGCCTCTCACCACCACCATCCGCATCCTGGACCCATGCAGCACGCCCAGGCGCATCACAACTTGGTGGCATCTTTCGGTCGAGACGACGCAGGTGGCCCCTTGTATGGCGGTGGGTACGGTGGGTCGTACAAGCGCCCCATGCTGCGAGAACATACGCCTGCACCACCTAGCCACCACCAGCAGCAGCGCATGGCACTGACTCCTCTATCGGTCCGAGGCGGCGCCAGTGGTTCGATGCGATCATCCCAGCTCCAAGCAACCAACTCGTACATGCCGGACACAACAATGACCTACGAGCCCGTGGACCACAACAGCTCCAGTGCAGACTTGGATGGACTGTTGATGGGAGGCAGCACGCCATCCCTTCGGCCGCAGCCGCCTCCGTCTCTCCATCAGCTGCAGCTGCACCAAACGCTTCCTCCATCGTCCTCTACCACGTACGACGCAATGGACCCGATGCCAACCAACTCGTCGTGGGACCAAATGCTCGACGACTTCACCGGCATCAACTCCCAGCTCGTCGTTGACCAGGCGCTGAATACAGGGTCGTGGTTATAGCGTCGTCCTTCTTCGCCCACTTAACCTATTAACACTCTTTTTTATTTGGAGGAAAATCGGAGCAATTTCTCCAGCAATTTTTCAATGGGAAAAGCATCGTTACAAGGTGTACATATCCGGATAAAGCGTACGATTTCGCATGATGCTCCTCGACGCCAGTCGTCGGCGCGTCCGCCTGGCGCCACATGCGAGTCGATTCATGTCGCTTTTCGACAAGATGTTCTCGTATGGAAGCGACAGTGCTGCAAAGAAGACGTCTGCAGGTAGCAGCGGGTACCAGCTCGCGTTGCTGGGCTATGTTGCTGGCACGATGTTGCCCAAGGACTCGATGCAACGCATCATGAACAACGATCCAGGGTACCTCATGGGGCATGTACTCGTGGGTGCCAGCGAGTGCTTGTACCCTCGCTTTCATAACGAGAGCAAAGACGCCGTACGTCGTGCAGAAGCGGCGAAGGCGTTGATAGCGTCAGGTACCTCGCGTGAAGCCACGTTGGCGCTCGTTATATTCGTTCTAGGAGCTGCACCGTCCAAGACGGAAACACTGCATGTGCATGCACTTGATGCTTTGGTTGGAGGGCGCTACCGCGAAGCATCCGCCGCGTATGAGATGATCCTCCGACACGACGCCAAGGACCTGCTTGCGATCAAATGCGCCGTCGACATCTACGAGCTTCTTGGGTACCTCGACTCCACCGTTTGGCATGAGATGGCGACGTTCGTGCATTAGAGATGCTCGAAATATGCAGGACACCATCTCGCGCGTGTTACCGTACTGGCAGGCCAGCCACCAAGGGTACAGCCACCTCTTGTCGATGCAAGCGTTTGCCCTTCAAGAGCGCGGCGATTTCGGCGCCGCGGAAGCATTAGCCCATCGATCCATGTCGATGAATGATGAAGATGGCAGTGCATGTTCGTTAGACTGAATGCATTTCGACGTCTCATTCGAGTCTGTAGTCCACGCACTGCTCCATGTGCTTGAGTGCCAAGGCAAGCACCAGGACGGCGCCAGTCTCGCCTTGCGCCATCAAGTACACTTGGCATATCTGCAGCCACGCAAACTAAGCGACGTCTAGGATGCGTGGAGCGACTTTGTTGTGCTAAAATCGCACCTGACCATCCACTGGATGCGATTCCTCATCGAAACAGGCCGGTTTGACCGCGTTGTGGCGTTGCTGAGAAATGACGTGTTCGTTTCGGACGAGGTACAGACCTCTCAATGCCGGCAATCTCTTGGATCACGCGACTGAATGCGCGACGGCGCAGCTGCTGTCGTCGAAAGTGCTCGTCGACATCACCCAAGTGTACTGGCGCCTTCGGTTCGCGGGGTTTGACGTGCCGTTTGTCCTGGAAGAGCTCGATCGCCAATGGAGCGCTGTTGTCAAGGACACAGACACGGTGCCTCTGAGTCCTCTCGCCACCGTGCATGCCCATGTGGGTCACCGTCCTCTGGCCGTTCATCGTCACAATTCGTCTTCTAGAGCGTGTTTTCGTTGGTGCGACCAAGTACTGGCGCTCCTCGAATCACCGGTACACAAGACGCACTCGATCGTGTCATGGCACTTGACGATGGAGAGTTAGAGGCATGGTTTGCATGTGACGTCGAGTCGTTGCATGCAACGTGGGGAACGTCTTCCGCAGTCGAAGGGACTTCCATCGACAGAATCGTCCAATTCAGCCATCGATTGCCAGGTTCGCAAGCACACGTTGTCCCGCGTTCTATCGGAAAGTGCATCATGGAGACACTGACTCGTCGTCATGCAGGCAATGGCGAAGTTCATGTCGTGACAACTCTGCTGGACGCCTTCTCGGCGTATGGAAAGGTGCTTCTTTCGAGTCGGCCGATCTAGTTTATCCGACGGAACTCGACAGGGACAGTACAACGAAGCTGTCAACAAGTTGCTCGCCGTCCGAGGTCACCTGCATGTAAGCGATGGAATCCCTTGGAAAGAATGAGCGATGGCATTGGCGTTGCTAAGCGTCCGTTAGGTCGTTGGCGGTACCCGCGTTGAAGCTGAACTGTTTGAGTGTCTACTCTTCGACTCGTAAGTACAAGCAGTCGATGCCGACTTCCATACACTGACATGTTCAACGTGCCCTGTTCTTGTCGCAGTGCTCGTGCATCGTCACAACTTGACTTGGCCAAACTCATTCTCCACGAACGGTTCGGCAAATGTTGTTTGGTTTGTCCATGTGCTGAGATCGAAGGATCTTGTAGGCTGAATGTAAAGCCCCAAAGCGCTCAGTACTGGAAGTCGTACGGAGACATCACGGAAGACCTCAAGGAAGACGATGTTGTCGACGGAGCGAGGCGCATGAGCTACGTTCTCGGTAGGCGCACGTGCCGCCGCTTCGCGATGCTGACAAGTGCGCAGGCCTGGGCCAAGCAGGGACGAACGCTGCGTAGAAAGGATCGAATTTTGTTTTTTTTCACATGCATTTCACGAAAATAGTCTTGAAATTCTAGTATTACTAGATTTACTAAGTCGATACCGAGGTTCGGCAGCATGCGAGTCGAAGATGCGCTGTACTCGGCGCCACCGACGACTCCAATCAAGTTGGAAGACTTGGAGGATGCCGTGAAGCGGCGCTTCCAGGTTCTAATGGACTTGTATCGAGGAACTCTGTCGTCTTCATCCATCGAGCCACTCCGTGACCTTCATGCGCATTTCGGACTTCGAGTCATCTTTGCGACGATGCCAGAGTTTAATGCATCCATCGAACACACCGACTTGTGTTCCTGGTACATCGATCAAGAAACGAAGCTCTTTTGCCGTCGTGTGATGCGTAGACTCAAGCACAGTAATCCAGCGTCGGTGAGAACTATAGTTCGAGAAACCCTTCGCGCCTTGAACGCATCGTACGAAGAAGACGACGCAAAGCATCTGCTCGTTCCTTTCCAGGACGTACCAAATCTCGTGCGCACCCGCTCTGTACTTCTCCAAGCTGGGCTGTGCCGCATCCCATACATGTCAAACGAAGCGACTGTCGTCGTCGGCCATCATGCGCATCGTTACTTTGCCGCCATGTTGCAAGTTCAAGCCCGTGCTTGTCGTGTGTACAGGGAAGATTTAAAACGCCTGGATCCTGTACGTTCCTTCGTGCTGGCTGCTCTCCGCGACTCCCTTCGCCCTGCTCTGGATCGTCGGCAGCACCATCTTTCCCACCTTCCTCGCGTGAGCTGCGACGACGACTTGCGGGCCGCCGCGCCATTCCTTCCACTGTGCATGCGGTATCTAGCCGACAAACTGCGGCAGAACCACCATCTCAAGTACGACGGACGAAGGCAGCTCGGGTTGTTTCTCAAAGGCGTCGGATTCACCGTCGAGGAGAACTTGCTCTTTTGGCGCGCCGCGTTTCACCCGCTCACGAGCCCCAAAACTTTTTACAAAAAGTACGCGTACAACATTCGGCACAGCTACGGTCTTGTGGGCAGTCGCGTTGTGTACGACCCCATGGCATGCGACACGATCCAGAAGAAGGGGCCGCCGGGCGCCGGCCAGTTCCACGGATGCCCATTTCTCCACTGGGATCGGGCGTTCCTTCGGACGCAGTTGGCGGCGTACGGTGTACCTCGTGCCCGCGACATCGCTGCAACGACGGGTCCCTCTGCCGCGTGCCTCACCCATCTGCGCACGGTGTGTCCTTCTGCGTCGTCCTGGATAGCGCAGGGCGAGCGACTCACGCCAAATAGTTGGTTCGACGTTGCTCGAATGTGTGGTCCCGCAGCCGCCCCGGCGATCGATGCTTCATCGTCCGCAAGCCACGTCCTCGCCACAACATCCCCTGGCTCCGACAACGATGTGGACGAGTGATGCGCCAAAACACACAAATTCACCGTGAAAAACAACTTGTTTCACGATCTAAAGTGGCGATTGCTTATGGTGCGATCGACCTGTTCCGCCGACTCCCTCACGACCCCCGGCGGCACGTCCACGTACTGCGACAACATGTCGACGACGAACTCGAGGGGACCGTGCCATGCTGCAAGGCCCGAATTGCGCATGGAGTGGTAGTAAATCGGGTAAAAGTACGTGCCGTCGTCCTCTGTCCCATCCGTGCGGCCATCCACTCGATCGCTCGATCCTCCATCCTGCACCCACCGCCCAGTGGTTGGCTGCGGTCTCCCGCCGTCGTAATGCGGCGCAAATGCTACGACCGGATGGACTCCGTACGTCGTTTCCACGTTAGCCATGTCGCGGCTGACGCGGTCCAAGGCTTCCCGGTGGGATTCCAGTACGACAGGCAGCTTGGACTTGGTGCTGAGGCTGCGCTGGCACATGTCAACGAACGCTGGGATTTGGTGGCGTAGGATGGGCGTAGGGTCGTCTGGAAAGCACGTCACTAGAGCGCCGCTCTCCCCTCGTGCAGTCGTTGACACGTGCGTCGACAAAGTGACGAGGGTGCGGCTCGCCCGCGTCGTGGGAGACATGGGCGTCTGGCTCGGGTGACTCGCTCGAATGGGGTGATGGCTTTGATTGTACTGCCACACGTTCCACCCACGCGTCATCTTGATGGCGGCGACCATGACCCCAACGAAATCGATTTCGCATCGGACGTAACGATGGGCCATCTGCAGCTCATCGACTACTTCTGCCGTTGCGTGGAGGTAATACTCGGCCATCAACCGGACGTGGTTGAGCCTCACCGTGTCAGGAAACTGGAACGACCGGCACAAGTTCAACGCGGCGACGCCATGGTTAAAGGGCGGCAGCTTCAGGTCGAGGTGGTGGTGCAAGTAATTGGCGTTCTCTGCCACGATGGATGCGCAGATCGTGTTTTGTTTCTTTCTCGTGTCGAAGTACCCTCGGACGGGATACACGCTGGCTTGGAGATCTGCCGGTAGTTGCGCGAGAAGGTTCGCGTACGGAACCTGGCCCGTGTGCACCCAAAAGAAGATGTCGCTCGTGAGTACGCCGAGCTGGCGCGAGCGGCATGCCAAATAGAGTAGACCAAGGAGGTGTCGGTAGGTGAACTTTGCGAACAATCGAAAGTCCATGGTGCTCTTGAGATGCAAGTTCCACTCGGTCTCGTACCCGCTGTCTTCAAGTTGCTGTCTACACAACGTCGTTGAGATGTGGGACACGATGGAAAACGTACAAGTCTTCGGGAGATCCGCTGTAATCGAGAAAGACATTGAGAAGCGGACGAGATGCCGACACTTCCCACATGCGCAAGAAGTGGAACCACAACGACTTGACCGTCGCTGGTAACTCTGGGTCGTGAACGAGCTGCGCCAGCGCTTGGGCTTGAATGTGCAGCATTCGTTGCACGACATGTAGACAGTTGTCGAGTGTGATGAGCTGTCGCTTTCGCTTGAGCTTGGCCTTCTTGGGGTCTTTCGGCCCACCTCTGTGAATTCGCTTCGGGCGAGCTCCACCCTTCGAATACGCGTCATCTTCATCTTGCGTCTCATTGCGGCTCTGCTGGAAACTCTGCGTCCCGCAGAGGTTGCACACGCTCTCGCCCAGGTCATTGCTGGAGAAGTTTCGTTCGCCCTCCGCGCCGCATGTCCGGCACTGCAGCACCGAGTCCATCGCAAATGGTGTTGCCGGGTTTTCAGATCCGGTTGGTGGCCCAGAATATCCGGATAATTGCCTCGACCAACAGAAATTCCATGGACATTTCATATTTGTGCAATTTATGTCGCCACGTTGTCGGCGGCCGCCTTGGTCATGCGGCACACCCGAATGGAGCCACGGTTGTCGTACAAAAAGGCGTGCGGCATCTTGGATATCGCTGCCGCCGTCAGGTCTTCATACTCGATCTTGTGGAGGTGGAGCTGGTCCAGGAAGGCATCGAATGTGTCTTGATTGCGGAGGGTGGACGCAAAGATCGCCGACTTGGTCTTGCCTGCATCCAGGAACGTGGCGAGCACATGGACCATGGCCGGAAAGGCGGCGACGTCGTACACGCAATCAGCAGCGATAAGTATATCCCATGGCGCGTCCATCCACTTCCAAGTCGTCCAGTCCACCATCATCGCGTCGACTTGGGGGCACTGCAGCCGGCTCGCATTAACCTCGATATTGTACCGAAGATTTTGCATCACGACGGGGGCGTAGTCTGTCAGAACGACGGCCGACGCGACGGAAGGAAGACTTGCCAGCACTAAACCAGTAAACCCGACGCCGGCACCCAGCTCCATGACTCGTTGTCCTCGGAAAAAATCGGGGTGGGAAAGGACGAATTCTGCAAGGAAGAACCCAGCTTCCCACAGCTTCATACCGACTTCGTTGTGCGCGGCGGCAACTCGGCACGTGATGATGCTGTCGCCATTCGGAGCGTCATGGGAGGATCGAGGTATCCGATATGTGACATGGTGCAATTCTTCTAGGTCCATAGTACCGATCGAAATGTTTTTGTGGCTGACGCTAGGAAGGATTCCTTCCATCAACGCGTCCGACACATCGCCACCGTGGCGCTCGACTTCTACACAGCGGCATGAGGAGAGAGACACATTGAAATATCAGCGCGGTGACCTTGGATGTATATCTTAAGTAGGCGGAACGTGTAGCTTTGCTTGGGTGGGTAGTCATCCGCAATCGAGTCTTGAATCACATGTGCCATGAAGCGGTCCTGCTCCAGTGTCGCAACATGAGAGCGCTGTACGCTTTCGCCAACTTTACCTGGAAGTCGACGGTCAAGTAGCTCGGCGACGTCTTCAATGATTGCATCAACAGATCCATGGGAGCCATGGACCGATACAGATCCAGGACGATTCGCATCGCGGCGTCCATGTTCGCGCGCTCGCGATGTCCTGATGTCAATTTGTCAACTTCCTAAAATGAAGGAATTAGTTTCGGATATCCTTGGGCAACGATAGGTTGACAGGCAACTATTTCAGCCAATCCAATGTCCTTATGCCACAATTTTAACCAATCAGGAATCCTCTCCACTCCTCACCACAATTTATTCACTTCAGCATTTGCCATCACCCCACACCACTCATGTCGGAACCCAAGTTCGTCCTCGTCAAGACCGCCAAGTACTCCGTGCTGCACCCGACCAAGGGCGCCAAGCCCATGAAGGCTGCCGTTGTGGCTACGCCTGCCAAGGCCGCCGCCAAGCCTTCCACCCCTAAGGCTGCCGCCAAGCCTTCGACTCCTAAGGCGAAGAAGCCTGCCGATGACGATGACGACGACTTGTTCGGCGATGACGATGATGATGAAGAAGCCGAAGCTGCCGCCAAGGAAGCTGCCAAGAAGCGCGCGGAAGCCGCCAAGGCTGGCAAGAAGGAAAAGGCTAAGCCCGTCGAACGCTCGCAAGTCGTGCTTGAAGTCAAGCCTTGGGAAGCCGAAACCGACTTGGTCGAATTGGCCGGCAAGATCAAGGCTCTTGAGATTAACGGTTTGAACTGGGGTGAAGGCCACAAGTTGGTCCCCGTTGCGTTCGGCATCAAGAAGCTGCTCATTCAATGCATCATCGTTGACGACTTGGTGCTCTTGGACGATATCACGGAAGCCATTGAAGCTTTCGAAGACTACGTACAATCCGTCGATGTGGCCTCCATGAACAAGGTCTAAGTTCAAACAAATTCACACGTATGGTAATTATTGCAACTTGGTCTCTTAAGCCCAACTCAACCCCATAGCACACATCTTCCTTGAGCTCTCAGATCCCGCGCTCGACCTTGAACGACCCCTTCGTTGCTTTGGTCTTGGCTGTGTCGACATCTTTAATGTCTATCGGGACTTCCTCCTTTCCGACCACCGGTCTAGGCGGCCGCCTGTGTCCAGCTGCTTTTTCCACCGCTTCGGCATCATGGTCCACCCCATTTGCAGTATATTGGACTTGCACAACAATGCATACCATCCACAAGAGCAACGTCGCGGCGAAGTAGGCCCACCATGCCCCCGGCATGGCCACTTTGGCATCCCCAGCACCGTTCCTCAGTGCCAGCAGCAGCGATTGGATGTTGGCTGGCGTCGGGTACTGCCCGATGAAGTTGCCAGCGCCAAGCACGATGAAGAAGCTGCCAAGAAAGGACGTGCATAAGATCACGACGGGCTTCTCTTCGAAAAACGCAACGAGGCCAAGAAGCACACCGAATGACGCCATCGAGATGAACATGGGAATCTCGGGGCGGGCGGCATTGAGCTGGATAAAGAAGATCGACCCGAGGAACGCGCCAAAGCCGATGCCCGCCAATACACCCATCGCAGCAATGCCAAAGCGGTACAAGTAGAGCGCGAGGAGCGCGACGAGAATCGCGCCAACGATAGACAGCACCAATGATCCAGCGACAACCCACGACTCTCCCTGGAATGCTTGGGTGCCAATGTCAAAAAAGACCACGAGACCTACAGTAAACCCCGCGGCGAAGAACCCCGCCCGGACGAAGCGATAGCCGAATATCCCCAGCATGACGCCGCCGAGAATCGAAATACCATACACGATCGCAGGCGCAACTGCTCCGAGTGAAGAACGCGATGACAGAGCGGAAAGTTCGTCGGTCGCGTTCGACGACAAGTAAGCCGCCGACGCGGACTCAGACAATGGCGGCAGCCCCGGTGCAAAGTCGGACGTCAGCATGAACAAACTCAGCGCTGCAACGGCAGCTATTGCGATGAGAGTTGTGCCCATCGATGCCAATCGACGCGCTTGAGGGGAGAGCAAGATGGATGGAGATAGGACGCGCTTCCTCACGTTCGATGGACCCAGGAGTAGCTCATCGCTGGCCCCGCTTGGGATGTACATGGACACGGATCCAATCTTGTCGGCGCGACCCTTTGATGGCAAATGGGGCGGTTACACGATGGAAATACGGATAAGATTTATGATTTATCCGGAGAGTACACTCATTCAAAGCCGCTTTTGGCGGGGAGTCGTCGGCAAGGGGGCCGACGGAAGAAGAGAATTGGCTGAAGATGGCACAGGTGCCGCTGCGAGCGAAGATGCCGTGATGTCCCTTAGACCAAGCGCGCGACGGATAGAAGGTTGGCGCAGGGCCATTGTTTGGGCAAATGAGCACCACGATGACGCGAGCCAGTAGAAGAAGATGCCCTAGGAAGACTCAACCCGCATCATGCACACGAATCTACGTAGCTTCTCACGTACTTGCGGCATCTGACAAATGAATGGGAACGACAGAAGTGGAATGTACTGGAACTTGTCTTTGAGGGCTTGGATCAGCTTCACCTTGGACGTCCCCATCAACTGCATCGACCACAGCACATGAGTCCGTTGCCTCTTACCAAACGTCGACGTACCTCAAAATTTAAGTACGTGCACCCCACTGCCAGCGCCGGCAAAATGAGCGTGCCGTCGGCCTCGACAAGATTCTGAAACATCCAGACTCCACCGGTATCGAGTCCCTCCACCCTTCCTGACCGTACGAGCTCGCGGGTGCTGTACGCCATGAGAAGAAACGTCGGGATTTGAAGCAGCGGAGTCGCCACACACTTGACGGGGTGAGTCTGGTACTTTTCCCACGTCAACTACAAGGACAATCGAAGGCGCCATGTCATGCCCAAGAAGGACCGATGTGGAAAATGACCTTGACTCCTTTGTACATCAGTTGGAAAGCTTCTACTTGCTTCTGAGGGATAGCGGGTGGCTAGACAGCAAGATGAACTTGATAGCTCGCACGTCGGGGATACATACCAGGAACATGCGGGCATAAAGGTAAGATTTCCACACTTCTCGCATTTCCTTGGACGCATTCGCCATGCTACGTTGCATTCATGTGAGCATCATGCCGATTGCTCGCATCAAAAATACCGCTCTGTGGCCTTGATTTGGTACACCATCAGTGGAAACAGCGTGCCACGAACTGCAATCGCGGTGACCTGCCCCATGCCACGGTTCAGCTGTGATGGGAGATTATCAAGAGGACATACACCGAACGTCGCCCACCACGGCAATCCCGTAGTTACATGAACTGCTTCGATGAGTTTCTGCGCCGCGTCCACCAACACCCAGGGGTCGTCCACAGGGACTGCAGGGTCTACAATGCCATCATCATGACACGATGGTAGTCACGCCAAGTGTACTCAAAGAGGGAAGCGCCGGTACTGCGCCTTCAACGGGCATATTTCCGACACTACTCGCCGACTGGGACGAGAATCGCATCGCATGGCGCACCGAGAGCGCCGACACCGCCGGTCGCCTCGTCAGATGGCGCAACATCGATGTCCTTGACGCGCGTTTCGGCAAGTTGTCAAATGTCCGCCTGACGTCGGGTTTTTTTCTCAAAAACCAGGGTTTAGCTCAAATACCCGATGCAGTGTCGACGGCGGACCGGACCAATCAGGGAATGGTTGGTTCCCATTTTTGAAGCGCGAGTTCGACTCGCATTGCGAAACGAGCCATGTCGTCGCTCCGGAACGCCGTCAAGCGGCGCGAACACAAGGAGCGGTCGCAGCCCCAAGACCGGAAGAAGCTCGGGATCCTCGAAAAGCACAAGGACTATGTGCGACGCGCGCAGGACTTTCACTCGAAGGAGAAGCGCCTCAAGTCGATGCAGCTCAAAGCGGCGTTCCGCAACCCGGACGAGTTCTACTTCTCCATGAACCAAGCGCAGACAGTTGACGGGCAGCACGTGTCGACAAACAACCACCGCGATAAACTGTCCGCCGAAGTGTTAAAAGTTATGAAGACGCAGGATGCCGCTTATCTCCACATGAAACGCAGTGTGGACTCGTCCAAGGCCGACAAGTTGCGAGCCACGGCGCACTTTATCGACGTGGAGAAGCCCAACACACACAAAGTATTCGTGGACGACGCAGATGACGTGCGCAAATTCGATGTCGCCGCCCACTTCGACACAGTGCCCGCCCTCGTGTCCCGCGCGTCCAACCGGCTGCGGAAGCGTGACTTGGCGCAGATCCAGCTGGAGCCGCCGACCGCGTCCGCTGTCAACACGTACACCGAGCTGTCGAATCGCATCGATCGCGCCGACAAGCTCAACCGCATGCGACAGCATTTGGATCTCGAGCGCGCGGTGCAGGCCAAAGGCAAAAAGTTCAAGGTCGCGGACGGTGTCAACGGGGCGCCGCCCGTGTACAAGTGGAAGCGCGTGCGCACGAAATAAATAATACCGACACACTTTATTGCACACCCTGCTCACACGACACATTACGATGACCCTCCCCTCTGCGTGGACGTTGTAGATTAAGCTTCATTGACAGTAGCCGCGGCGACGTTCCCCGCGGACGACGACGGCGGACTCCTCGACGGTGGCGGAGGTGGCGGCAAAAATGCTGACGGACCCGGCAGGTATGCGTTCTCGGTCAAGTCCAATTCAGGATGAAACGTCGCGATGTCTTCCATGAGGAGCGACACGAGCGCGTCCCGCGTGAGCTTGTCGTCGGGGATGTCAAACCCAAAGTCGAACGGCGGCGATACGACCAAGTCGGCGGCATCGAAAAACGCTTCCAGGTACGGGTGGTGTAGTGCATCGAGAACGGAGATGCGTTTCGCCGGGTTAAACACGAGCATTTGTCGCAGGAGGTCAATCGCCTGCGACGACAAAACGGGTCAGCGGAGCTATCTGTGACGTGGAATATGCATGACCGTACTTGTTCGTTCGCGGCCGGGAACACGTCCTCAAACTTGCTCGGTTTGTAAATAGGGAGTTTGGTCAGAAATCGCTGGGCCTTGGCGTTCTTGACAAACTCGACTTCGTCAACTTTTGGCGTCCCCATAAACTTGATGATCAACTTGAGCTGATGGATGTAGTCGTTGCCAGGAAAGAGCGGTTCCCGCTGAATCATTTCGGCCAGAATGCACCCCACCGCCCTTGCAACCACCCCGTCACCGTGGGTACGGGGCCATTCAAACGGACATGGTTGCTTACCACATGTCCACGGCCTCGGTGTACTGCAAGCAATTCAGCATGATTTCAGGCGCGCGATACCACCTTGTGACCACGTATTCTGTCAACTCTATGTTCTCTGGGAACCCTCCACGGGCCAGTCCAAAGTCGCAGATCTAGGTGAAAAATGAGTCATGGTTTCACAGCCCAAGCACGTTCGCATAATGCTTACTTTGAGGTCGCAGTTGGAGTTGAGCAGGATGTTGGACGGCTTCATGTCTCGATGGATGACGCCTTCGTACACAACGTACACATGCATGACCATCCTGGCATGCCAGAGCCATGGGGAGATTCGTACCGGCCGAGTGAATGTGGTGCAGAGCGCACAGAATTTGATACAAAAAGTACTTGACGTGGTCGTCAGACATGGGCTGCATGCTGTAAATTACTTGATGCAAGTCCGTTTCCTAGCCTTGCGCGCTCAAGCAGGCCATCGACTTGGGATGCAAAGCAATGCGAAACCATGGCTGATCGCACTCGAAAACGTACCATGAGCTCGGCAATAATGTACATGTCGTCGAAGGCGGCGCGGGAAGGCGGTGGCAGCAAATCCAGGAGCCGTGTGATATTTTTGTGGTTAAAATGGCCCAGTAACCTCGTTTCACGGAGGATGCGCTGCCAAGTCATGAGTAGAGCATACGCATGGAAGAAATGTCACCAACCTTTGCATCGACGAGGTCGTCAAAAATATTGGAGATCTTCTTGATCGCGACGCTCTCCCCCGACTCGTCGTTGGTGGCTGATATGACGGCGCCGTACGCGCCAGTTCCAATCGGCTTGATCAATTTGTACTTGACGTCCAATGTGAAGACTTGGCCACTCGCGCTGAACGAATGCACGGCACGCACAGCTGTGCTGGACAAGCCTGGTGCGACCCTTGGCACTAATTGCACAGCTGACGTGTCATGCAAAACAAAGAGGACACAGACAGGTAGAGAAGCCGTTACCTTTGCGAAAGAAGCGATCGCCCAGTAAAGATGTCGTCTGTCGGGTGCGGAGCTTCTCGGGCGACGACTGCCTTGACGAAAAGCACGTCGGTGAAGCGCCCACAAGGTCGCTGTGGGATGAAGCGCCTGGATACGCTGGTTTGGATTCGTCGTCATCACCAAAATCTTGGTTGTCCCCCGCATCGTCGTCGTTGTTGTTGTCCTCATGTGTCTCTGGGAAAGCATTGCTGTCGTTGTCGTAATTGTTGTTGCAGTCATTGTCATCAACATCTCCACACATCGGCTCGTTCCGCAGTTCGTCTTCAAGCATGGTCGCCGCGGCAAACGCAGCTGTCATCGAGTCTTCGTTCGATTGAGCGAGTCGACCGCCACTGTCATCGGTGGCTGTTGCTTTCTTTGGGCTCCGACTCGATCGGGATCCTGATGTTCCTATTGAGAGCTCGGGCTGTGGAGGATGGGGCAGAGCCGGCTTGCCCAGCTGGCTCAGTTCAAAAATCGCTGTCTCGAGTGCACAAATCCATTGCTCCAAGCTTCGAATGGTCGGCGTCGCAAAGTGCACGCACTGGTTCGCCACGGGTCGTAACAGTTCGAACTTGTGCACGACCGGCCCCATCGATTCGCAGTCGCTCACGTCGCGCACAATGTCATGCTGCGACAGCACAATCTCCCCAAGTAATATGAGATCTGATTGGCTTTTGTACTGGCATAGCGACCAAGTGTCGGACCGCAAGATGCAATAGCACGGCTACGATAAACATCAGGACGCTTCAGCGCATATGATGATGCGCACCTTGCTAGAGAAGTACTTGCTCGTGGACAATTTCGTCAATACGCCTTCCATGACAACGTCGTCCCCTGAAAATTGCATGGGCGAGTCTAGATTGCTCGGTGCATCGCGTTTAAATAACCGTGATATGGACGTCTTGTGGCGCGTTTGGTATACTCGTCGCGGCACCGCACCACCACCTATGCTGCCGCTATTGCCGACATAATCAGGGATCGACGCCTGGCAATACTTGCTACTCCGACTCGACGACGTCCGACCAGACACACTTGTCATGGTGCGGGGAGCCTGATCTGTTGTGGGCGGCCCTTACCTCGCGTGAATCCTGTAACGGACACTTGTTACCCTTCGAACAATTCAACCGTCGAAACCACTTGGTTTCAGTATACTCGATGGCCTTCCATCGATATTGGATCTTTCCACCTTTCGCTATTCGGACAAAATGTTGGAATATCCGGATGTGTTCACAGTGGCGTCGCGCATACCAAGACCATGGACACGCCCTGCCGCGTCGTGTGCGAGGGAGTAGGAGAATCCAACGAAATGGCGCCGCGCTCGATGCTATTCCTTGGAGATCGGAGCTAGGGTGCGCGTGTGATATATCAAAACGATGAAAGGTTTCGTACGTGAGGATTGGTGAGCTATAAATAGCACCTTGTTCCCGTCTTCGCATGCTGGTTTGACATGGACCCAAGTTTGTCGCAGGCGGCTCAGTCGCGCGGCGTGGGTGGTCGACTTCACAGCGACGTGCGAGATCCGCAAGTGGAGGAGATGGCATTACCAAGCGTGGGGTACACAAAGGATCGATACGACCCAGATCACCCCGACGCGGACTGGGGTGGGGTTGTCAACCGAACGTTTAAGAAGCGAACCTTCCAGGACCATGTACCGACTCGAAGTGTATGTTGGCAGTGCCTTGCCAGGGCCAGTATTTACTCAAGTTTGGCTTGAGTAGCACCTCACACCGTCCAAGGGTGGGCTCTTTCCAGCCATCGACGCACCTACCACCCTCCGGACAACTAGCAAACGCATTTACGACAGAGACATCAAATTTGTCAGCAACGACGCGGTACGTACCCGCGGCACGATACCTTCGCTACCTCAAACAATTCATGGTTGTGCTTGAACACTAGGATGCGAGGGACACGCCATTCCGTACTGGGGTTCATCAAGTTAGTGAATTCAACCGATTGCCCAGCTCATGCCAAACTCAAGATGGCGTAGGTCGGACCAGGTGGCCGACATGATTGCTCGGACTGGAAGACATCGTACGCGGCGCAATCGAACCACAATCAAGGAAGTCATGAGGAAAAAAATGCACCTGGCAAAGTCAAGTTGCTTGGGCACGACTCGCATCGCCGGCAATTGCAACCACTGGTACTCCGAACATTTCTTACATGGCATGGATGGTCACAATTCTCGAAAAGTTCGAAGTACAAAACAAAAATCGGAGCGACGTCTTGCCGAAACTACCGACAGTACGTGTTTCACCACCCCCTTGCATTATATGCGTATACCGTTTTTCGGTCCTTTGACATGTGTCTTCATAGGAGCCTTCATCTCGAAATTCTTCAACAATGAAGGTGGAGCCACGACGAGGAATGTGCTTTCTGTCGGGCATTGGGAAGTCGTTAGCTTCGTTCGACACGCTTCAGGACATCAAGTAGCATTGTCATGTCACTTACTTGTGCTCAATTATCCGATGTAGACGCCCCACGCCCCATATTCAGTCTGGCTTCGACAACCCGGCGGACAAGACGCTCTTGGTGGAGAACCAGTACGTTCCGTTAATCATGCGCGGCTGGTCCCATGGAAGGGCTTCATTAGTCACAATGTTCTTCTGGGCTACACGGGTCAGCGCCGTGACAAGTGACGGCATTCCGTGTCGGCGACGGACGTTGGCATGTCGGTGGAATGCGGTGCGTGAAATTTGAAATGGCGCGCCGACAACATCCGGTTAAATTATTCGGCAAATAAAATAAGCAGAAATTTTTGGATTCCCCAATATTCCATTCAGTGGCGGTCGACGAAGTGGACGGGATGACGACGACAGCGGCAGGCAACAACATCGCGGACCGATTGATCGGTGCGCGCAACGAGCGAGGCATACCTTCGGCTCTGTTTGTCGAGGATGTCGTGAAGTTTGTCGGAGCCGATCCGGTGGAAGGCATCATTGGTGCGTTGCAGCAGCTTTTCAGCAAATATAAATTCATGGAAACGAACTTGACCAAGACGAAGCAATCTCTCAAGGTGAAGATCCCCGACACAAAGAAGGATTTGGCGATGCTGGAGCACTTGATTTCCCAGCGAGGCAAGGACGAGAACATCGAGACACACTTTAGCCTGGCCGACAATGTGTTTGCCAAAGCCACGATTGACGCGCAAGTGCAAACGGTGTGCATATGGCTGGGGGCGAACGTCATGGTCGAATACTCGTTCGACGAAGCATTGTCGTTGCTGAAGAACAACCTCCACACTGCCGAGCAACGTCTGGAGCAAATTGAGTCGGACCTTGGTTTCCTACGTGACCAAATCATCACGACCGAAGTCAACATGGCGCGCATCTTTAACCATGACGTCCGGCGTCGACGACAAGAAAAGCTGCAAGTGAAGGCATAAGGTCATCACCCGAACCGACTAAGTGAGTAGTTGACCTTTGGTGTTCTCCTGATTGGCTTGTCGTTGCATGCGCATTCAGCCATGTCATGTACAGGCTTGATTCCAAAGCCGCCAGTCGAGCACACGACGCCTCTAACGCGTTTCTTGTAATCCTGGAACGCCCAGTCAACGCGAACGATGCCTTTCGAACGACTCGATGGCATCTTTTTGCTTGGGCGTTTGGCGAACCGCACAAACGCTTTACGAATACAGGTCCAAGCACGTTGTCCCGTTCACGGATCATGCGGACTTCCTCGTCGAGTTGAATGGGAATGCCGCATCGAGAGAGGTGCTCGATGAGATACCCAAATGACGTGCTAGCTGGCATGCACGAGAAAGAGCCATCGAATGCGGCGTTTGCATCGTGGTTGCAGGAACAGCATGTAACTGCGATCGGGGTATAAATACCTCGAGCTTCGCATCGCCGACGAGCATCGCCATGTCGTATCGGCTTATCGAAGCGAGGTTCCAAATCTTGGACGAGGCCGTGGCACGTCTCGAGAGGTCCAAGAGTACGAAACTGAACGCATCTGCACGACTGCGCGGCGCCGTGCGCATCAACCCGCAGGATGTCGCGACGTGGATGAAGCCCAATCGTCCACGGTCAAGTTCGTGTGCCGCAGCCCCGCCGTCCTCCGAGAGCACTCCAAGCACCGCCACAACATCTGGAGGCGACTGCTCGGCGCCGAGCTACAATCAAACGTCGCACGACGTGCACTTGCACCTTCGTCGAAGTACCCTCCTCAGTCGCCAGGCCAAGCGGGAGATTCATCCGCTCATCGTCCGTCCGGCCCCGGCCACGCATGACTGGGGACATCCTCATCAAGAAAACTACCAGCACATCCAAGAAAACGACGTCATGGTCGACCCAAAGGAGGCCATGGTGCATCGCGCCGCCCACGACACGTGGGAGGTACGTCCTCCTAACTCTTCCCGTTTGAATTCTTACGCGTTCTTGCGACTGGAAGCATATCAACCAAGACATTCACGCGTCGACTGGGATCGACGTGTTCGCTGCAACGACATCTCCAGTACGTCGACTGGCCCATCTCGTCAAACGGGTGGTGGTCGACGACTGCTAACATTTGAGCCATCATAGACCCGTCACGTCAAAGCTGCCCCCGCGGCGAGCCCACCAACGCGGCAACCGACATCGGCAGCGTTGGCTACGCCTGCGCTTCCCCGCAGCCCCATGTCGGCTCGCACCAGACGTAGGGTATCGAGACGGTGGAGTGTTTTGTGACAGTGCTTGGCTAGGCAATCCAGCCGACGGTATCGACGGCCACGACGAACACTCGGACGATGAAGGTCACGCGTACACTGGACAGAGGACTCAACCAGGCAACAACAACTCCGGGCTGCCACGGCACCAACACCGTTCGCCGACGCGCGCGCGAGGCCGCCTAGTCAGTCAATCGCGGATCGTGCAGCCACCATCGACTCCTCGAGACTGGTTCAGTCGGCATGAACCTCAAAAGACCGCCGCAGCATGTGCAGAAATGCCGCATAGCAACCGGCGTCGCCGCGACACCAAACTCCGACGCCAGACTGGCACGTCACCCAGCAGCGCCCCACCGCACCCTCCTCGAGGCAGCGACGACCCAGCATACTACTACTTGGAGATTCGCCTCGAGCATGCCACGTCGCTGGCTGGGTGGACCTTCCGCGTGATCGTGACGGATACGACGCATCCGTTGCAGCCCGTCGCACTCTTCAACCACATGCAGGTGAGGGCACTTGAACTCATTGCAGTGTTCTCACGCCGAGTCGGCGGCGGCAGTGCGACACCTCCAACTGCATCGTGTTTAACAAACCGCCGCCGACAGCGGCGGGAAAGAAAACCAAGAACTATCCTGCATCGACAGAGCCCATGCTTCGAGCCACCATCTTCGACCCGATGCGATACTTCGACCATGTTTGCCGGCCGGGCGACGTACGCCGGCAACGCTCTTCGACCTTGTCCGCCCTCATCGTGGTGTTTGCTCTTAGCTCTACGGTCACGCGCTGCGCATTCAAGTCGTGTCCGAGTGGCCAGTACAAAAGACAATCGTCGACACCATGGTCCACTTCACCGACACCCACAACGGTGGGCGGAAACTTGCCGCGTTATGCTAGATGGTGTCTGAATCCGGTCATGGCGAGCAGGGCCAACACTGTCGGCGGAAGAGCTCCTACACACGCTCCATGGGAACAAGCCTCAACCCATCGTTGTCGACGACGGCGCTCCCACCGAAGCTCCACCGAGCACACACGACATGAGCGAGTACATCTATCGCAATCACTTCGAAGCGGTCTACGGGTACGCAACCGTACAAACCAAATGACGTGCCTTGCAGACGTGATGCCTAACGACGGGCGTTGCTCAGCACCGACACAACGGAGAACTCGTCCAAGACCCCGTTGCCCGAAAAAGTTGTGCCGTACGTGTTGCATGTGTCGAAACGTCTCGACATGCGGCATCAAGTGATTGCATGTCCTTGTGTTTGAATGAACAGCGACAAGAAACCTGCCACCGTGCCAGTAATCCATGCCAACGACATGGAAGCAAAGAAGCGAGAGCTTCAGCGCATTCGTGAAACGATGATGGTACGTTTGACGAGAGGCACCACATATCGGCACGACACCTACACGTAGGACGACATGCTTCGCGAGCAACAGCGCCTTGCGTCCTTCCGTTGATCCCATCTCGTCTTTCCCCACCTGTACATGCACTTCCATGTGCTTTTCCATCGAACATGCTTCTCTCCAACGTATTCGCGCCACAATGGTCAAAACAAATAAACCCGGTAAATGAAAAATGGGTTTTTGACTCCGCCCCCGGTAAATAACTACTCAGCCATCTCCTCGCCATTATAATTTGTCGGGACGCTCGTCCAAACCATCAAGCTTATGGCCATGCTCCTCGATCACCCATGTGTACATGGTGTACCCAGTCGAACTCGATAGAAATCGGTTTGTGCATCGTGGGAGATAATACCGGTTTTCCGGCATAAAACCGGTATTTGACCGGCGCGTTTTAGTTCATTTTTTGAATTTTTGAACACGGTTTTCGACATAGATCATTGGCCAAATATACGTCGTGCCCTGCCCACGTCACGTCGTCCGGAGGCTTCTGTCGCATGGAAGAGTGGCGAACGGAACAATATTATCTATAAGCGAGGTACGCGTCGATGTGGACCGCGGTAATGTGATTGACGCACCACCCGACTCGGCTGTAGCACGCCCCTAACATCGGCACATGAGCAACAAGATGAAACCTGCTCTCGAAATCCTTCTCGAATGTGAACGCGAACAAATGGCGCAACGACAGGAAATGGAGGACATGATGCAGCACTCCGATCTCTTGCGAAGCATCAGCAACGTCCATTCGTCAGCACAAGACACTGCCGCGGCACATGCTGACCACGACCATCGCGGCGGCGGTCCAGCCAACCACAAACCACTGTCCAGTGGTACATTACCTCCGCCGGAAAAAAAGCGGCGCCTCGACAATATATATCCCCATCAGTTGCAGCAACATCCTTCTCCTGCGCCAGGTCCATCCACGTCGGGCTCGATCGCGTCAACTCCTGGCCATACCCCCACCAGCCTGACCGACGGCACCTCGTCCGGGCCATCTCCTGTAATGACGCCCGTCATGCCGAAGAAGGCATGCAATTGTAAAAAATCCAACTGCCTCAAACTGTACTGCGAGTGCTTTCAACAAGGGTCGATGTGCGGCAGCGAGTGCAACTGCCAAGGCTGCCACAATAGTGCCGTACGTTTGGCCGAACGCTCCCTCGCGTTTGACGTTGTCATGGCGATAGAACTTTGAAAATCAGCGGCAGCGCGCGATCCGTGTGGTACTCGAGCGCAACCCCGTCGCCTTCCTTCCCAAGGTGTCCACAGGGTGCGAAGACTCGAATCTCCCTTCCTGACTGAAACCACTTTAACTGTAGCACAAACGCAGTCGCGACGACCAAGTACTTTCGCGGGTGTCGATGTCGCCGCAGTGGATGCTTGAAGAAGTATTGCGAATGCTTTCAAGCTGGCGTCAAGTGCGGCACGCTGTGTCGCTGCCAGGTATGTCCGTCCAACTCTCCTCGGCTCGTCGTGTTGTTGCGGTCTAGTGCGTGCGCGCCCATCGTTAATTTGCCCCGAGTTATTGCGCACCATTGCTTCTCACCTATTCTCGTACAGATGTGCAAGAACTGCAGCCCCGATGGAGCCACGGACCCCCATCATCACCAACTTGCCGACCAGGTTGTCGCAATCGGTCCATTCGCATGCCATGTACTAAAAAGGCGAGCACCTCTAGGTTGGCACCCCTCGCGGAGCGGATCACGCTTCGTCATCGGCAGCGTCCGAAGCCTCGCCGTCCCGTCGATCGACTCCAACCATGCCACTGCCCGTCTTGCCGTCGTGCGTGATGAAGACATCGAGACATCATGCCCCCACCTCCAACAAACGGAAAATGCTCTCCTTCGACTCGCATTCAAAGTACTCGTACATGAAAAGCATGCCCGTGCACGGCAAAGGGCAGGACTCGCGGGTCGTCAAGCCTCCTGTATCGTCCGGTTTGTACCCGCTCGCGGGCACTCTCGCCACGGACGCGTCCATCCAGAAGATCTGCCTCGCCCTCGTGAACGCAGCGTGCGTTGACGACCACGACAAATCGAAACTCGCACCTCACAAGGCACCCCACCAATCGACCTCGCTTCGGCAATCGCTCAAGGAAGCCAACTCTGTGGCACGACTGCCTGCGCTGTCCGCCGCGGGTTCGTTCGCGTCCCCCCTCAAGACAACGCCCCCAACGTCGTCGTTCCACTCGCCGTCTGTGGACGCGCTCTTTTGCAGTGAAGACATGGACTGCACGCCGCAAAAAGGAGGTGGGTCCACTGGCGACGACGACCGACGCAGTGAGCTGCAGGAGAAGGCCGTCTTGCAAGAGTTCAGCGTGTGGCTGCGAAATCTTGCGACCGCTAGCGTCAACCACATCGTGGCAGCAGCGGCGCCAAAAACGTAGAAGTGGCGGCAGGGAGAAGTTTATTTAATGCTGGGTTCGACTATCCTACCAAGCGGTCGCAAGGTCCCAAAGTGCTCGATGGCTTGAGGCTTGGCCACACGTTCGCTTGGACGTGGTGGCGCACCGTGTCAGCGCGCCGAGGTCGTCTCGTTGGCCAGGATCCACTGGACGGCGTCGTCCACGGCATCCAGCACGACGTCGGCAGGGTGTTCCGCGTGGTTGGTGTCGGTGAAGATGCCCGTGCGTACGAGAACACTGGTCCAGTGGTCGCCAGCGTTGTTTGCACCTGGAGTCGAGCACACCATCGAGTTATCTGAAACAGGGCACGCCTCCAGGACATACCTTGGATGTCGCTGTATGGATTGTCTCCAATGCCGTAGTACCGCTCGACTGGACCCGCGGCTTGTGCTTGCATGACGTCTTCTGCAAACCTGTTGGAACCTGCGTGAACGCCCGACCTGTTGGACAAGAGCACGGACCGGTACGTAACAGCATGCGGCTTGCCGAAGCGTTGGACCTCAAGCGGCTTGCCAGTGTGCTGCTCATACAAGAGTTGCAAGCATCTCGTGAAAGCGCCTGTGTCCAACGTGAAAATGGCATTCAAAAACGCATGGAACGATTGTACCTTGGGCGAATCGTGGAACAGGGTACGCGCCACTGAACGTAAAGTCGTCGTTGCTGACAAAGAGCGGCGTCTGCTTGCCGCCGTCGGGACGTCCGGATCCGAGGGGATCGCCGCCGACGAGTACATCCACAGCAATCTGGAGATCTTGTGCCCAATGGATTGGGTCATGCAATACGACAATCGCTTCGATCGGGTCGTCTGGGAACGGACTCGGGCTGTACACATATCATTCATGGGATTGCTGCCGTCACACAAACGTCCTTACGTTGGGTCCCACTTGAGAAACGGATACTGCGCTGGCGAGTGTCGAGCAAGGTCTTGCACGGATACGACCTTCTTGAACCCGTAATGCTGGGCCTATACATGCGCGCATAACGTCATGATGGACAGAAGTATATGTCGTACCACATCCATCACTTCGTATGCTCCGAGCACAAGCACCTTGGAGTCTGAAGACAAGGCAAAGATTCAAATGGAAGGGTCATCCGTACGAATACCTCCGAACTTCTTGGCAAGATCTCGCATCGGAGTATGGGACAAGATCATTTGCTCGTGACGCAGCGGAACGCCAAGGATTTGGCTCAACGTGTTGGTCTTTTTTTCTTCACGGCACCCGCCGCCGTTCGTTAAGAAGATGTGAGGAACTTGGCGTTGCTGGAGTTCGCGAATGATTTTGGCCGCTTGAGGCAGCGCCTTCCCACCTCTGAACCACGCATCATCGTCATACCTGCATATTCTCACGGCATGTACCTCGCCTTACCGGATCAATACACCGTCAATGTCGAAAGCGATGCCAAATCGATGCATCCTCCCGTGTCGCTGGCAAGTGACAAATGTCGCGCCGCCTTGAGTGGGAAGAAGATCCGGATAACTCGTCTGGATTATCCGTATGTGGCCCTCCGCGACCTTTCAAAATCAAAGAAGAAAACGCGCACGGTCTGGAGCGCGAGATGGTACGTGGACGCGACAGACGACGCAATAGAATGTGAACGCTTGACGAGGGTAGACTACATGCAGTCAAGCTATCAAGGCATGGGAAGCCAAGGAGAATGCGTCGTCTGAAGAAGCCGCCGTGATCAAACTGTACTGCCAAATTCCTCCGATCGCCAAGCTGGACAACTCATTGAATACGCTGAAAAATTGCGAGTGAGTGATCGGTGCGCTTTGTAGATGATGCTGATGAAACACGTAGACATTTGTCGTTGTCGACAAACTGCATTGACAGGCTGATCCCGCTGTCCGGGATGAAGAAACTGCGCATCTTGTCGTTGGGCCGCAATCAAATCAAAAAGATTGAAAAGCTCGACGACGTGTCCGACTCGTTGGAGGAGCTTTGGCTCTCGTACAACGCCATCACATCTCTTGACGGGCTGTCTGGCCTTGCCAACCTCACAACGCTCTACCTGTCGAACAATCAGATCAAAAACTGGGACGAGCTCGACAAGCTGGTACGACATCGTGCCCTCGAGACCCCTCCTATCTCACATTCCATACCACGCCGTAGTCGAATCTACCCAAGCTGCGCGACGTTCTGTTCACAGGAAACCCTATTTACGAAGGTCTTTCCAAGGAAGATGCTCGACTGAACGTCCTCAAGCGCATTCGCAATGTCATGAAGATTGACGGCGACATGGTCAAGCAGACCGAGCGCGATGCAGTGACAGGGCAATAGTGACCTCAGGTCAACCATACGAATTGCAAGTGTCGCCGAGTCACTGAAAACTGCTTGGAAATACGAGCATCTCTCTATTCCTTTTTGCCTTCCAAGAACTTCAAAATGTAGCTGAAGTCCTTCTGGCCATCGCCTTGGTTCACGATCATGTTGTACAGCTGGTGGACCGCCGATGTCAGGGGAACCGACGCTTCCGCCGACTTGGCGGCGTCTAGCGCCAAACCCAAGTCCTTACGCATCAACACGGACGCAAACCCTCCCTTGTACCCGTTGCTGGCCGGCACGTTCTCTAAGATGCCTGGGTACGGGTTGTACAACGTCGACGACCAGCACTGAGCGCTCGATGTGTTCAGGATCCTGCCCGCATCGTTGGTTCCAGTAGGTTTTGACAGAGTCAACGATATATGCGAGCTCCTTACCCGGCCAAGACCTTGGGGTTGATGCCGAGCTTGTCACCCAACGTCATGGCTTCCGCAACACCAACCATTTCGATGGCAAGCGCCAAGTTGTTGCAGATCTTAGCAGCTTGGCCGGTGGCTGCAACAGCATATATTCAGATGGAGAACGAACGAGGACGTCGAACGAAGGATACGTACACACATCACCGCAGTGCACGATGTTCTTGCCCATTTGCTTCAACACCGGGTTGGCCTTGGCGAAAGCGTCATCCGATCCACCGACCATGAAGGTCAAGGTGGCGTTCTTGGCACCGTTCACCCCCCCAGACACTGGAGCGTCTACGAAGGTGGCGCCCTTTTCTTCCGCCAAACGTCCAGCAAGGGACTTGGTGAAACCAGGGTCGATCGTGCTCGAGTCGATCAAGAAGTGCGACTTGGTCAGCGCATGGACGAGCCCATCCTTGCCGAGGTACACTTGTTCCACATGCGGTGTCGATGGCAACATGGTCACGACTGTCGTGGCATTGGCGGCAACATCGCGCGGGGAAGACATGACTTCCACTTTGCCGTGGGGCTTCACAGCATCGATGTTAGCTTGCACGACATCGAACACGACCACGTGGTTGCCAGCCTTGGCGAGGTTGATGGCCATGTTGCCACCCATTTGGCCAAGACCGATGAAACCAATCTTCTGTCCCGCGGTACTCATCGAGCGGGTCAAGGCCGCTGTGGAAGTTGCATGGAGCTTCAAGGCTGAGCGAAACATCGCGGGGGAATGGCAATCCAAAATGCAATGTGCGGGGCAAAGATATCAGCCTCAAACGAAAGCGACACCAGAAATAATTATGCAGTTAAACTTGAAGTTTGTACGAGGTCCCTTGTTAAATAATAAAACCACATTTTTTCTGAGACGTTAGTTGAAGGCGACGTTGAAGGCCGCATGAGCACGAGGACGCGCTATAGCATGGATCGATGCACGGGGACAAGGAATGATCTCGATATAAACTCTAATCCTGCTTAATGTGAAGGCTGCTAGCTATACCCGAAAGTGGATGACGACCACCTCTCCTGTTGAGTAGCACGCCGAGATCAACGTGCCGTCGTGGTTCCAGCTCACTTCAAAGATGTCGCCTGTGCCTTGGAACGTCTTGACCACCGTGGCCGTCTACAAATGTAGTATGCCACATGATCAATCTATCGCGAATCGAAAGAGGAACGGGTGCCACCTGCATCGACCACACTTGGACGGCGCCGCTGATCGACCCACTTGCGACGTACTCTCCATTAGGGCTGAATGCAATCGCGTACACGGGGTTGCTACATCGCCATCATCACCTTCGATAGCCGCCCCAACAATGCATTTCAGACGTACTCGTGCTGCAACGTCGACGTGCACTTGCCAGTCTCGACGTTCCATAACCTGACGGTCGTGTCGAACGAAGCGCTGGCCAACACGGCCGTTCGATTGGGGAAGGCTGTCCCTGGACCGGTGGGGCTCCACCGCACAGTGTACACTTCCTTGGTGTGATCCCTGAAGTCGAACACACATGCGGCGTCCGTCTACAAGATGTGCATGAGCACCTCGTTGACAGGATGGCGTCCAACGATTTGCATTCTCACCACTTTCCACAGCTTGACCGACGCATCGTCCGAGCAACTCGCGAGCACTGTGCTTGAGGGGCTCCATTGAATCGCATTGATCTCGTCGGTATGCCCCCTCCACGTCACAAATGGCGACGTGTCCCCGACTTTGGCGAGACGGATCGTTGTGTCCGCTGAACACGTGGCGAACGTCGACTCGTCCTTCCACGCGGCATCCAAGATGGACGCGCCGTCGTGCAGCGTCATTTGCGCCAACTTGGATGATGATGCCACGTCCCACAGCGACACCGTGCTGTCCAGGCTCGCGCTCAACACAATTCGGCTGGACGGATTCCACCGGACAGCAAACACGGGACCAGTGTGATGGTGCATGTCTTGAAGCAGCGCACCTATGGTCAGCGTTCATCAGGAACAAGAGAGCGTGCAGTGAAAAAGAAAAACAATTGCAGCGACGTTCAAAGCGTTCAAGAAATGGAAGGGTGACTGGCCGACGCACCTGACGTTCCCGACCATAAACGCATGTGGCCGTCATAACATCCCGTGGCCAGCACCGATCCATCTGCCTACGGAACGATTTTTCCATGTAGTGACGTCCAGAAACGTGGAGAATCGGGCATACATTCCACTCCAACGTTGTCACATCCTTTGACTGCGCTCCATCCTTCCCGTGGACGAGTGCGAGACCGGTCGCAGGAGTGGAAAAGTCAGCAGGAACGTCCCATATCCGCGCTGTGGCATCACTTGAGCCGGACACTAGGGTATTTTGCCGTGGTTTCCACGAACAGCTATACGCCTGAACCGAGGAGTTGAGGAGGTGACAGCAAGACAAGGAGTTCACAACGTACGTCTTTCTCGTGGCCGCGTAGCACGATCATAGTCGTCGTTGTGTCTGGTGCTTCAGCTGGAAAAGTCTTAGCGCTCACATGATGATTGGGGCAAGTACCAGAATCTGTTGTGGGGTTAGTTGTTTGAAACGAAGGGGAGGCTTGGTTGGCCGTGGCAGAGGCCATAGCGTTCGATGTCGTCGTCAACGAAGGATCGTGGACTGAGTCGGGGGAATTCGACGTCAGTCCAAGACTGCCACCTTCTTCAGATTTCCTCTTTCGTTTCCCAGGCTTTCCCCCAGAGGATGTACCCCGTGATACGGATTGTGCAACACGGCAGATGTGTGGATTCAGTAGCGTGATATCAGCCTCGCATTCTCGCTCGGTCCCGTCCTACATGTTCACAATGGGCACCTGAGAACATGTTGACGAGCACATGGACCACGTACTTCGTTCACGTGTGCTTCGATGCCCACGTACAACAATCCTTTCTGAATGAACGATATCAACGCGCCAGGGGGTACTTCCGTCGAGATCACACTGCTCTTCGCGAGTTGACTCTCGTAAGCGAACGTGAACGCGGCATGCGAGAACCCTACGTTGCGATCATCGATCGTCAGAGACAACTCCACAAACGACGGAGCTGTTGCACACATGCACTCACCCGACTCCTGCAGGTACCGATACACAAGGAAGTTGACTTCATCGGATGTGATCGCCATGGGGTCTCTCGCGGATCGATCGCCCTCGCACCTCGGCCGCCAATATTATTCGTTTTTGGCGTCTGGTGTGGGCGGGTGGAATACTTGCGAGCAAACTAAACAAGAATACTATAGTAGGCTTAACTTCGTATTATTTGAAATTCTAAACACAATACCACTTCCTTGTCATATGGATGAAACTTTATAAAATTGTAATGCGGTTTCAGCTAGTACTCTTACTCTGGATGAAAACGTATCGATTGGAGGTACAATACTCTGATACTCGATATACATCTTGTCGATAGTGACTTATTAATTCTGAAAGCGTATGCGCTATCCAAGGTTCGGCCATCCAAGCAAGATTACACACCAACACGAATGCGGTCATCCGAGTGCCTGGGGTATGGAACTCTATGCATGAGCAAGTGGCTGAGATCAAAGCTTGATGCGCAAGGTACGGGTGTACGGAATACACGTCTGCATTACACGAGCGTGAAAGCTCTTGACCAGATTTCGCCGATTCATGTATACAAAAAAATAATGCTGTCGACTGAGTTTCACTGACCGACGACGACCCAGGTTCGTCGTGTGGCATGCCGCCAGTATACAAACCACAGGTTTACGGTATACTCAGATTTAGATCATATGATGCGTATGCTGGTCGTCGTCGTGGTCGCGTGGTTTACTTTCCAACATCGTCGGTGCAATCACCATCCCAACTGCACCTACTCGACGCGCAGTCTCGATCGCACTTTCTTGCTGCAGCTCAACCACAGGCCTCGAAGACCCACGCACAGCTTGCCATCGTCATGCCAGTTGTCAAGTCCAAGTCGTACTGCTACTACGATGTCTTGCGTGTCCCTCGGTCGGCCTCGTAAGTGCCGACCACGTTGCACATTCATGACATGAATCATTCAGGCAAGCCGAAATTGTCAAGGCATATCGCATGCTCGCGCTCAAGTATCATCCTGACAAGCTGCAGAATCAGCCGAACGTCGACATCCAAGCAGCCACAGAGTACTTTCAACTTATCGTCAAAGGTAAAACTTTTCGTGCGCGTGTTGGTGAGAGCTCAACGGGCACATCGTCGAACCATTCTGGTAGCATACAATGTCCTTTCCGACTGCGATAAGCGGTCTGGCTACGACGTCAACGGTCCCAAACTCAAGGTCCTTGCCGCTCTTGTTGTCGCTCCTCATCGTCCTGATGCGTCATAGCCGAGCTACGACTTGGAAATCAAGGCAAGCTTGGGAAAATTGACACCGCTTTTGTCGTCAGCGTTTGTGGGTCTCGTTGGCGGCATCGCCATCACCCAAACCAGCGACTTGAGTCTTGTGTTTGCGTTCGAGCTGTTTTTCACGGCCTTGTGCGGAGCAGCAACCTGTTTACCCACCAAGGATGCCCCAACGCCCACCATGTCCACGTCTGACTTTGTTGTCGTGGGAGGATTGGGCTTAGGTTTGGGCAACGTCATTGGGTTCGTCGCCCTCCACTCGACTGTGTATCTCGCAAAGCTGCTTGGCGTGTTGTAACTCCAACGATTATTCGTCCCTACAACCAGTGACTTCATCGTGATGGCCACTTCTCACGCTGCTGTTTCTCTGCTCGATTTCGCCTGGCTAAAACTGCGACGCGGTCTGCGAATGGGGTATACTATTTGTGACTGTCCCTCGACTGCTCCGCCCCTGAGATCGATTTCACGACATCGTGGCTGTTGGTGCAACAACTTAAGGCTGGGGCTCTTGCTGGAACCGGCGATGCACTCGTGCTGGTTGCCTTGGAACTGAGAGATGCTCGTGTCCTGTTGAAGCAATTCCCCGAATTCGCCGAGAGATTTGCGTTGCAATTTTGTTGCCATTGGAGCAATTCCACGAATTTCAGTTTGAAAAATAGTGACCTGTATACTGTACTGCTGGATTGTACTGCAGTCGGGGTATTGAAAAAAGCACAAAAAAAAGAGTTCATTGTGCTCACCCGTCTCTGTAGATGTTTGTATTCTGCGCCTGCGAATGGTGTGCAGGATGTGCTTGCGATACTTCGAACTAGAGACGGGTATTTGATGTTTGTAGTTGTTCGTGAGGGCAAAACTACAAATGTGGTGATCGAATCTGGGCATTTGTGACATGAATCGTCTGATTGGCCCACAGACTTTCGATTCATGCAGTTTACAGACTTGACCTGGTTGGGGATGGAACTTTTTTAAATCCAAATGTCCAGTACCCGTTTACAGAAAGCGCTCAGTCCGAGTCATAGTGATCTGGTAAGCCGTCGAAGGGTTGACTCCTGTAGCGAAGTCTAGTAGTGTGAGGAGTGAAGGATGTCCATAGCGTTCCCATCGGGAGAGTGTGACGACACCATGCTAATATAATGAACTGAGTGATGTCCATACATTCATACAATTCTCATATTTTTAATACAAAAGGATACCAGTTCTTCACAGTGGTAATTTCAAACGATTGCCTTGCCGAATGACTCCGTCACTGTAACCATACTGATGGATCCTCGAGCTTTGATGGTTCGTTCGACGTTTTCGGTCAAAAACACAACAGATTCTCCAAGATCACAACGTAAGGAAGTGCACCCTAGCATAAACTGTGTAACACCATGGACGGCGCTGAGCAGTTGGACACGTTCCGGGTACATTTCAACATTACACAGCAATGCGACAGTTTCACAAATCGACCCAACAGGGAACTGCAATAAACTGAGTTTTTATAGCCAATCGTGGAGTGAAACTGTGCCTGATCGAATAAGAGGCCATGAAATACTGGCATATTTGGCCAATCAAGGCACTCGTTTGCTTGAAATTTTGTGTGACAGAATAATCCTTCGCATACTAGTACTAGTACTATGTAGTACTTACTAGTAGTTGATGGTAAAAGTGCCTGGTAAAACTGACCTATCTAAACAAACTCCAATAGGCGCAATACAAAAGAAGCGCATTGGAATCGCTACGCCTCCTTTGACACATCTGGGGCAGTTGGCAATCTTCGATGCTTGTGATGTTGATACTGCGTAGGCGGCTGTTGTTCGACCAAGTCCAGTTCTCGTCTTCAGTCGCTGCCCTTGACGTCCAGATTCCACAGGGAAGTGGAGGGCGAAGAAACTCCGCGGAAGCGTAGCATCCAAACCACAACCAAACCACGACTTTTGGGTCCATTAACCGATGCTCTACCAACTAGCTGCTCGAAAATCCCACTTCAAACCTAACGACGCTTGCTTGTTCGATGTTGTGAACCACTTACCGCCCAAACGAATACACGATGCTGGAATAATGCGTACAAATCAACAGCGTCTACGTGGCATCCCGCTTGGGGTCTCGCCGACGAGCATTGTTGCCAATCCTCTTTCATCCACACCCACTCGAGTGAATCGTGCAAGTGTCCAACAGTCGTTCGATCTACATTGACGCGAGCCAAAAAATCCAATCTTTTTGTCGTCCAATGGATTGTGTTTTGTCCAATCCGGATATCCTACTGAAACTTGACCAATGTATACATTAATGCAGAGAATTAATGAAAAGGTTGCAATTTGAAATATCTGGAAAACAAATCTCGTGAGCGACTGAAACTTCCATTAGGAAATTCGAATTGCATCAGTGGTGGCGACGATGGCGCTCAAACGCGCCGGAAGCAACTACTTCCTGCTCGAAAGCGATTACAAGCGGTCCAATGGAGCCCTCAAGCACTCGACTAGTTCGTTCCGGGATCGCCTCAACCAGATGGACATCCTTGGGGAAAGTGCGTACTATGTCATGGGCGACAACCCGAACGATCCAGATGTGTACAACTCCCTCGAATGCGACCAGAGCGGCGGCGCCGAGGTTATCATTGGGGACTTTCCTGACGAAGCATCGATCGATTACTGCTGCGACGTCTTGTATCGCAAATTCGGCTTTCAGCTCGGGTCAGTCGACAACCAACGTGAGCACGCATTGCTTTTGTTAGCGAATGCCAAGTCCCGCGAGCGCATGAATGGAGGAATGGACCATGTTTCGCTTCTTCACCGTAAACTGGTGGGGAATTATGCAGAGTGGTGCAAGTTCATCAAGGCTGAGCCCGTGTGGTACGCTGGCGAGTTGAACAAGCGCCTGACGAACCGGTTGCACATGGAGCTCATGCTATACTTGTGCATTTGGGGCGAAGCCGCCAACGTTCGACACATGCCCGAGTGCATTTGCTTTTTGTACCATCAAATGATGCAGCTGTTGAACGCCGACCTCCAGGTCATGCAGCCATATCCCGAGCGATGGTACTTGGACTCGGTGATTCGCCCAATCTGGACAGAGTGCTCTGGAATGACGAAGAAAGACGCGTTGGGCAAGCATCTCGAACACACCAAGGTTCGTAACTACGACGACTTCAACGAGTTTTTTTGGCGAGAGGAGTGCTTGGCGGTGCCGGTGGACCAGGCTGGCTCCAAGTTGAAAACTCATGAAAAAACGTACTACGAGCATCGGAGCATCATGACCCTTGTGCTCAACTACTACCGGATCTTCCATTTCAACTTTATGTTCATCTTCATTTTGGCCGTGCTCCAGTACTGCGTCACAATCTCCCCCCGCGGCGGCGAAAGCGGTTTCATGCAATTTGCCGCGCTCGGTCAGGTCGTCGAGCCGTACTCAAAGACCGATCTCAAGCTCGCGCTTGTGTTCCTCGTGCTCGCGCATGCGGTGCTGAGCCTGTTGAAAGGCGTATTGGAACTGGCCCAGTCGTGGCATCACTTCTTCACGCCCAATGACACACCAGTCGACTCCACCGCCCGATCTTCGTCGCGGCTCTCGTACGGATCGGCCCTCGCTCTGCGACTCGTGTGGAACGGAACGTTTGCCGTCTTGTTCTACGTCATGATGGCGGAAGGATCAGGCGTGAATGCGGCGCACCCGTGGCTGAATCGTTTTGTGTTGTTGGGACCGTTGTTCCTCGGCCCGGGATTGATCGCGCTGGCCGTGACGGCAGTCTCCCCCGCCATCGTTCGTACGTCGTTTTGGAGCAAATTTGTCCGAGAAGGCGACACGTGCTACGTCGGCCGCAACATGACGCCGCCGTGGTCGTACCGAGTCGTGTACATTTCGTTCTGGCTCATTCTGTGGCTGTGCAAGGCGTGTGTGTCGTACTGGGTACTCATATCGCCGCTCATGCTGCCATCCCTCGCCATCTACGACATGCAGCTCGACTACAAGACGCACGTTGTGTCCGTGCGCAACATTGGCATCATCGCCGCGCTATGGGCGCCCGTCTTTTTCGTCTTTTGCTACGACACGCAAATTTACTTTACGATTTTCCAAGCCATCTATGGTGCAGTCAAAGGCATGCGCATGCACACGGGCGAGTACCATGGCTTTGCCGATATCAGCCGCGCGTTCCGGTTGATTCCCCAGCACTTCGACAGCAAAGTCGTCACAGCCTGTGCGGTACGTTAGGTTGGTGTCTCATGGCTCCTTTGTGTTTGCTGGCCTATTGTTGCATGGGGTGTTTGAGCACTGAGAACTTTGAATGGGAGACCAGCAGCCGTACAGACCACGCGTCGAGAGGAGGGACCGGCTTTGAAGGCGGCAATGCATGCCGTTGGATAGGTGACCGACAGCGTTGTGGCCGTGCAGTGTTATTTTGACATTTCGTGTTGAAGTGGCGACTGGGTGCACGTGGTTGATGTGGTGAGATGATGCGGACTCGGTTGTCGCTGTAGGTGGCCCAAGATCACGTCCCGTCCGAGGACGGCCACCGCCGGTCCATGCTCATGGCTCGTTTTGTGGTGGTGTGGAACGAAGTGATCAACTTTTTCCGGGAAGGCGACTTGCTCGACGACAAGGAAGCTGCGATTCTCCAATACGACGTGTCGGAGCAAACGGGCGAAATCTATGAGCCTGTGTTCTTGTCTGCAGGGAAAGTCCAGGAAGCGATAGCAAGTGTCCTCAAGATTGACCGGAAGAAGAATCCCGGCCGTGATGCCGAATTGAGCGTCGAACTGCTCCTGCATGACTGCAATTCGGCGCTCAAGTCGTGCTTTAACGCGGTGTTGGTCGTGCTCGAACAGATGCTCGATCCGCGCGACGTGAGTGTGCTGGAAGCATTCGACCTCATGGAACAGCTCGCCGCCCAGAACAAATTCATGGCGTCGTTCCAGACCCAGCACATTCCTCTCGTCCGCGACACACTCATCGAGTTCCTGGAAGCCGTGCTCGACCTCCCGGCGCCGACTACGCCCCATCCCCTCGCGCAGTCCACGAAAGCCCACCCGATGCCGATCGTCCAAGAATTCGTCAAGCGGTTTAGTGCGTTCCTCCATGCAACGACGTTGTTATGCGCCGGCCAGCAAGTCATTATTGAGAAACTCAGCTCGAGCCACTTTTGCTCGCCCACGAACGGGTACATGGCGGCGGCCGAAGGCCTCGTCAACTTGTGCTCGAATGAATCGACGATGGCGAATGCGACGCGCGCGCTGCTACTCTTGACGCTAGACACATCCGAGGCGATGCCGCGGTGCTCGGAAGCAAAGCGCCGCCTCGGCTTTTTCATGAAATCGCTCATGATGGACATTCCCCAGTTGTCAGCGGTGAAAGAGATGCGGTCGTTCTCGGTCATGACGCCGTTTTATGCCGAGGGCGTGTTGTATTCGCTGGAGGAACTGAACGCGCCGCTGGAGAACCACCCGATTTTCGGCGCAGTCGAAGAAACCGGAAAGAACCTCACGATTCTGAAGTACCTTATCACAATCCACACGGCCGAGTGGGAGAACTTTCTCGAGCGCATCAATGTCCAAACGGAAGCCGATGCGCTTCGCGACCACCCCCTTGAACTCCGGCTGTGGGCGTCTTACCGCGGCCAGACGCTCGCTCGCACCGTCCAGGGCATGATGCTGTACGAAGATGCGATCAAGATGCTATATTGGCTCGAAATTGGATCCGCCAACGACAAATCACAGGAGACCAAGCGCCAGCTCCTCGAAGATATGGTGTGCCTCAAGTTTTCGTACATTTGCGCGTGCCAAGTGTACGGCAAACACAAGGCGGAAGGCAAGGCGCAGGCGACCGACATTGACTACCTTCTCCGAACATATCCGAACCTCCGCGTCGCATTTGTCGATTCGGCCAAAGTCGGCAGCCAAACAACGTTCTCGTCCGTCTTGATCAAGAGCGAAGGCGACGAAATCGTTGAAGTCTACCGCTACGACCTTCCTGGCGACCCCATTCTCGGGGAAGGCAAGCCTGAGAACCAGAACAACGCGCTTCCATTCACGCGCGGCGAGTTCCTCCAAACGATCGACATGAACCAGCAACACTACTACGAGGAGTGCCTCAAAATGCCCAATCTGCTCGTCACGGCCGACCAGCACCCGTCCGGCAAACCCGTGAGTATCATCGGCATGCGCGAGCATATCTTTACCGGGAACGCGTCGTCGTTGTCCAAGTTCAAGTCGTGGCAGGAGCTTGTGTTTGTCACGTTGAGCCAGCGCGTGCTCGCCGACCCGCTCTACTGCCGCATGCACTACGGCCACCCCGACGTGTTTGATAAAGTGATGTGTCTGACGCGTGGCGGCGTGTCCAAGGCGTCCAAGGGGATCAACTTGAGCGAAGACGTGTTTGCAGGGTTCAACACGACCCTGCGCGGCGGCGTCGTCACCCACGTCGAGTTTATGCAGTGCGGCAAGGGCCGCGACGTTGCGCTGTCCCAGATATCCATGTTTGAAGGCAAGTTGGCCAACGGCGCCGGGGAGACGTGTCTCGCCCGCGAAGCGCATCGCATGGGCGCGTTCCTCGATTTCTTTCGGCTCAACTCCATGTATTACTCGCACACGGGGTTTTACTTTGCCACGTGGCTCACGATCGTGACAGCGTTTGTCTTTATGTACACCAAGGTACTCGAGACCTTTCATGTGGACAACCTCGTCACGGGCACATGTGTAGCTTTACATTGCGTTGACGGGCGTCCAAGAACAGATTGTGTTTTCCATGAACTCGACGACCCTGATCTCCAAGAATTCGGACAAAGGCTTTGATGCGCGCGCGTTTCGCAACCTGGACAACATTGTCAACACGCAGTACTACATCCAAGCCGGTCTCTTCCTCACGCTGCCGCTGATCGCAGTCTACTTTACAGAGGCCGGGATCCGCCGTGGGTTCCTCCGCTTCTTCAACATGATCCTGACGGGCGGGTGGGCGTTCTTTACGTTCCAAGTCGGCACAACGACGCACTACTTTGACCTGAACATCGTGCACGGGTTTGCCAAGTACCAAGCGACCGGGCGCGGGTTCAAGATCACGCGGGAGACGTTTGTGCTTTTGTACAAGGCGTACTCGGGGTCGCACTACCGCAAAGCGATGGAGCTGATCGGTCTGTGTGTCATCTACGGCACGTACGGGATGTTTTCGATCTGCCAAAAGACGGGTGTGAGCGACTCGAATACGTTTGGCCAACAGTTTTGCATCACAGCTCAAGGATTCGGCACGCAAACGTTTGCAATCTGGTTCATCTCGGCGTTGTGGCTCCTCGCGCCGTTCCTGTTCAACTCGGACGGGTTCGACTATGTAAAGACGAAAGTCGACATCCAGAGCTGGGCCAAGTGGATGTACACAGCCAAGGACGACAAGACGGACCCGGACAAGGTCAACCAAGGTGGGTGGATCGGGTGGTGGCAAGGCGAGGTCGACCAGTACGTCGGCGCCAAGGGCATCTCCCGGGTCACTGTCATGGTGCGCGAGTGCCGCCACTTGATCGTGGCATGGTATGTCATCACGCTGCGGTACGACCCGATCGTGGTCCTCTACACGAGCCTCGGCGTCCTGGCCACTCTAGGTCTCTTCCACGCGTTCTCGTGCTTCAACGGCCTCGGCGCTTCTCCATCGATCCGCGCCACAACCTACTTTTTGCTCGTCGCGCTCTTCCTGTCCGTGTACTTCATCCTGACGATGATCGCGTTGTCCAAGTCGACCGGCGACGCGTTTGCCATCCTGTACGGGTACTTTGCCATCTTGTACGCGATCAACGAAATGGCGCGTGTGTGGGTGTACCCGACGTGGAGCATCTCAAACATTGGACTGTTCCAGCAGCTTGCGTTCTTCTTTGACTTTGTCTTTGGGGTTGCCATGCTCATCCCGCTCATGCTTCTCTCCGTCATTCCGTTCATGAACATCATCCAGACCCGCATGATGTACAACGAAGGGTTTTCCCAAGTCATGTCCGACTCGTCCCAGTACGCATTCTCGATCGCTGGCATGGTTGGCCTCGTCGGCGCCGGCGCGTGCGGCTGGCTCCACTACGTCCTCACGACCCTTGACTTGTCCGCGTCGTTCCTCGCGTACACGACGTTTTATAACATCACGATCAACCCCGTTGGGTACACGGCGTACTATGCAACGTACGGCACAATCGGCGGGTCGCTCGTGTCGGCCGCGTGTGGGTATTACTTTGGCCGCCGCGCGACCATCTTGTGCGGAGGATTGGTTTCGTTTGTGTCGATGACCCTCCTGTCCGGGACGCCGACGTTTGGCGGAAACGTGTTCATTCCGGCGCTGGTGCTGTTCAGCGCCGCGATCGGGATCCTCCTTCCGGCGTTTTGCATCTACTGCTACGAGATCTCGACAAAGGATATGCGGCCCAAGATCATGCTCGTCCTCGCGCTCGGGTACATCCTCGGGTCGATGGCCGCCAGCTACTACACCCATAGCAACTCGCTCGTGTGGATGTGGCAATGTTTTTGGTGTTTCATGGTGCTCGCGTTCCTGACCCCCGTCATCATGCTCCTGCCCGAGAGTCCGTACTGGGTCCTCGCCCGCCAGGGATCTGACGAAGCCGATGCATGCTTGAGCTTGCTCCGCCGTCGCACGGACGTCACGGACGAACTGAACGCAATGAAAAAGCACCAAGAGTACAACGTCCCAACCGGCAACTCAGTCTACAAAGCCATGGTGGGGTTTGGATTGACCGTCGTGCTGTCGCTGTCGCTCCTACCGCTCAACGTGTACGTGGCACGCGTGAGTCTAGGGTACGGTCGGTCGCTCATGCTGACCAACTGCCTCGCGGTCGAATTTGTATTTGCGCTCTTTTCGTTTGTGTACATTGACAAGTTTGCGCACAAGTTTATCTTGATGGTGACGCTCGTGCTGAGTGCCGTCGCGGTCGCGTTTGTCGCGGGCCAAGACCGGTTCCAGCTCTTTGGGCAGCCCGATCAAACCCCGCTCGTGATTCTGTTCGTTGTGCTGTACGCTGTCAAGGGCATGGGCCTTCCAGCGACGCTCTGGGTGGGTTTTATCGGGCTTTTCCGCACGCGCGGCCGGTTCGTATCGATGCCAATCTACTTTACAACGTTCTTTGGCACCCACCTCGCGACGACGTACATCCGGCTCGAGTCGCCTACGACTCGCAACCCAACGTCCACCGAGTACATTTGGCTCTTTGGCCTCATGGGTGCCAGCGTTGCTCTCGTATTTGCCATGTTTGGCCTGGCCAAGCGGTCGAACGGCATGCTGTGTACCGTCATGGAAATGACGCACGAACGCGAAATGGACGAGGCCCGCCAACGCGCCGCGAGCCACCCGGCCGGCCGGCGCCGCGCTTATGCAAGCAAGCACGGCTCTCGCCGGTTTACCAACGTCACGTTGTCCCCACGCAACAACCCGGTCACCCCCAGCCGAGGCGCGCAATCTCGCAAAGGCAGCGACATCGAAGCGCCGTACCAGCGCATCACCGAAGCCGCCGTCTAGTGTCGCTCGTACCCACGCACCACGACAGCGCTAGATATAAAATGCACCACGTACTTGTCTACTTGCTGTCGAGCGAGCGCGGCGGCTGCCATGTGCATTCTGTTGCCGTGGCGATCTCTCGAGATGCGTCGAGGAAAACGAGGCGGGGATGGCGTCCCGACGCAGGCCGGGGCTGTAATGGCCGACTCACCCACGGGACATGTCATGTGGTGCGATCACATGGAGAGTGTCTCCGCGGCGAGTTGGGTGACGTGGGTGCGCAGTCCTCCTGGCAGCAGTCCGACGATTCTTACGTGATCGAGATACGGCCGGAAGGTTCAACGTTCACCGACGCGTCTTTGAGATCTTGCCATGGCGAGCTCGTCTCACGCATAGAGCCGCCGCGCCGACTTGATCGAGGTTTCTCCACGCCGACAAGGCGGTCTTCATGGCCACCGCTTGCATGGCCATGATAGCAGCAGGACCACGTACTCAACTGTCGGGTATGGTCTATTGTACGGTGCTAAATACTGTCTGCGGACTACGCGGCAAAGTTGCGGCGCAGGGCGTCTTTGAGTGCTTCGTCATGGCAAAACAACTGCAGCGAGTGCATATGGTAGCCCTCGACGTCGAGGAGCATGTGGCCAAAGCCAGAGATTTCCACGTTCTCGCCGTTGCCCCGGCGGCCTTCAAACGACCCGGTGAACGCCCCCCACTGCCTCCACGAAAAATAAAAGCTCGGGCTGGTCGTGTACACATGCAGCACCTCCAACGGACACCCGGCACCAAACACGTCGGCAACCATGTCCAGTGACGTGTTGTGCAAAGGCACTAGGCCAAGCAACGTGTGGCGGAGCGTCGCGAGCGCTTCTGGACCGCACATGGGCGCGTCGTCGTTCGACTGAAACCAGAAGGTAGGCAGGCTAATCGACTGCCACTGATATACGTTGGGCTTGTGGGCAACATCCATGACGAAGATGCGCAGAGCCGTTTCCAGAATCGCTTCGACAGAGGTGGGTTCGTGGAAGCGGGTGCGACCTTTGAGGTAAGCCAGATCCGTCAGAGTGTAATCGGGGCGGCCTTGTAGCCACTCGATTGTGTTTGTGTTCGGTGCCAAGGAGCGAACGCATTCGGCGGGAGAGTTCTGATGTGTCTAAGCAATAGACGGAAAATGTCCATGACAGAAGAAAGCGAAGGAGGGAGGTGTACCTCGACGAGCCCGCGGAAGGGACGGTAGGTACCAGGCTCAGCGAGCAGTTGCTCGAGCTCGTACTTTGCACGCGCGAGCTTGGCTTCGGGGACATGCATTGTGGATCCATTGGCGGAGCTGAGGAGGACGATATTCCGTGGCGGGCCTTGAGACAAAAGTGCGGTCGTTGTAGAATGTCGGTCGGTATTCGACGGTGTTGACAGGTTGCGGCTTCCATGCCGCGACGATCTGGATGTGAGTGGAGATGATGCTGCTGTGGGGGTCGTCGGGGGGTACTGTGAACGGGAGGACATGTCCGCTCCGTTGTGAGGCGGCCGGAAGAGCATGTTTCGACTGCTTCCAGTCGCGTTGTCACTCCAGCTCTTGGAATATGAGGTCGTCTCCCAGAACGAAGTTCGTTGCAACACGTCGTGGAACGCATCCAACCAGTCGGAAAAGTCATCGCAGGATTCGGCAAGCAGAATCATCTTTTCCGTCTTGCTTGTGATCGAGAAGTTCCTTCGAACGGTAAGGATCAGTTTCCATTTCGTTGTTTCGTCTTCGTCGACGGCGACAATGTGATGGGCGCGCAAGGGGGTGACGGCCTTTTTACCCCCGACTAACGACGACGAGTCCCGCGGCTGGCCTTGACTGTTCCACATGTTGAAATCGTTGTAGTCCGCGAAGCAATGCAGTTTGGCGCTGTAAAAGTTGATGCTAAAGTATTGCGCGCGAAACCCGCGGAACAACGTTTTCTTCAGGAGATATCCATGCTGACGGACAAGCTTGGCGCGCTCGGCGACAGACGAGCTTAATCCGACTGGGCTTCTTCCTGGGGTCCTGCACGACCGGGAGAGAGACGTCGGTGTGCGCGACATCTTCGTACCAAGACAAATTTGAAAGTGACACCGCGGCCGAGTGACATCCGTACACGGGAGGAAGGACATCCGTCCTGCCAATCTTCCATATTTACATATAAATGAGCGTACAAATGTACGGTCGTGAATGTTAGTCGCCAGCATTGTCCCCGTATTTGTATTGGATTCAAGTATATCTTGTAGTCTGTCCCTCGCCGGTCGCTGAAAATTCGCGGGAGCAGGTCGCATGTGGAACAAATCGCGCTCCGATCTCGACTGTCGCAGTCTGTGCTGCGTGCGCCATGGAACCGCGGCGTCCTGCCAGTTCCCCGCCGACCTCCTATATCGCTGGATGGTGAGGCTGTCCCCCGCGGCGAACATGCGTGCTCCTACGTGGGTGTACGTACACATCGCTGTCCTATCGCTGATAGGACTGTCCATCTGGTTGCTACCCGATGGGATTGCATTAGGTGCTTGGAACCTCATCGGGTGATCGATCCCTCCAACATGTTGCTGACGAAACCTCCAACAATGTCGCAGTGCTTGTGCCATGGTGACATGCATCTGGATTTCCTGTGCTCCACTCCGACGACCGATTTCACAAGGACCTTTGTGCCGCGACGCCTCGTTTGACGCAATTGGCGCGCTTGACTGTCGCCTCGATTGTCCCAAGGCTGCATACGTTGTGCTTCGGCTGTCTTCGACCACGTCCAGCCCTCATTTTCGTACGCTGTCCGTGATGCATTTGGATGCCGCACGGGCGAGAGAAAATACTTGTCCCCTGGCGAAGGTGGGATCCGTGGTGTACGCAAGCCATCCATCCACGCACGATTAAGCACCAAAACACCACCTCGTTGATGCGACGGAGCTACTGCGAATGACCTTCGCCTGCAGTCGTCACCGAGTAAGCGTTGCATGCGGTTTGTGTGTGGTCGAGTTTTCACAATAGCAATTCCCTCGGGCTTTACCGCGTGTGGCTGGGAGGGTCCGGTTGTAGTGCTTTCCTTCACCTGTCAACGACACACGTAAGCCAGGGTTCCGACGATAATCGCAGCAACCGCGACCCTCTACTTGCACACGTCCAGCCCAACCACAACAACAAATACTGGAGCCGCCGACGCCCTCTATGCCGCCGTTATCCTTCGCCATCCATCCACGATTCATTGCAAATGTTACTGTTGCCAGTCGTACGAAGCATCCAGCGTTTGCGCTCGCGACAATTTGTCCGAACACAGTCCAAGTACAATTGGATTTTTGGGTGCCGCCGTGTCGCTGACCATACCTGCCATAGCATCCAGCCTGCCACAGCAATCCTTCTAGCCTCGCTTGCATATTCCAATCTGCGCGCATGCCGTCGGGAGGAGCGGCATGTCGAGGATGACAGGGAGGTGGCGCTGCTACAACCACGTCCCTTCCCTGACAACCAAATCAGGATAACAAAAATCGACCATGCCGGATACCATATCCGTATCCGCGCCATCACACCACAAACAAATCACGATCGCTCGATCTTACATCGAAAGCGCTTGGAAATGCTACCAACATGGATGCACCAACGAAGAAATGGCTGGTGCCGCTGGGACATGCTTGGTGCTGTGCTCCCGAACTCGTCCAGAACAACGTCTTCGACTGCTGGGGTGTGAAAAAAAAAAAAAAAAATCCGGAAAGCCACTTCAACTTCCGGATAAGACGGGCTTGAATCGCCGAGTCGTTTAATGGCCACGCAGGTCCTTATCACTCGTTCTCCGCGCCAATCCATCGTCTGGCGCGCCATGTCGACGTTCCGAGATACGAGCTTCTCCAAGTACTACCTCGTGGGTGGATGCATCATTCGTGACGTCGTTGATCTCTCGGATACGTTTAGGCCCAGCACGTGTTTCGCGACGACGAGCTCGACGCCGTGATCGACACACTTCGGAAACCACTTCCATCGTGCTTTCGCATCAACCCGAATGCTCCCAACCGCGCCAGGTACGTCGTGAAGGATCTCACGTCGTCTTACTCAACCGAATGACCAGTATCCAGGATGCGTTGCGAACGCAGTTTCAATTTCACACCGGATCGATCGAGTTCCGAGACCAGCTCGTGACTCCACCCCAGTATGTGGCAAACCAGTCTGCATGTGGCTCATGCAAGGCGCAGAGAATTGCCTTGGTTCCCTGCAGCTAGTGGCAGTGCATGGCAAATCGAATGCGGCAAAGCTGTCATTTCGAAGCTTGGTGCGAGCCACGAACTCGGAACTAAATGAACCGGGTCCTCTAGGTCGACAAAACGAGCTGTTTGGGGAGTTGCATAGATTTCTCATGCTACACACTGCCAGCGGCGCCATCACGCGCCAGGAAGCTGTCAGCATGATCCCCACGCTTTTTCTCGATGTCCAACCCGGCCAGCGCGTCCTTGACATGTACGCATATGCTACACCGAAGGCATGCATCATGCATGTATTCCGTTCAGGTGTGCAGCCCCAGGCTCGAAAACGTCGCAAATCCTGGAGACTTTGACGTCTTCATCGGATCAACGTGACGGCTTCGTCGTTGCCAACGACGCGAGCGAGAAGCGCGGGTTTCTGTTGGTGCATCAACTGCTTCGACTTGGACTTCTGTCTGCCGTGGTGACGTGCCACCAAGGCCAAGACTTTCCTGGCTTGTACGACCCCATCAGTGCGTCCTACTTCTTCATAGAACTCGTAATGCCCTCGATTTCATGAATTTGTAGGTCGGCAACTCCAAACGACGGACGCATTCGATCGTGTCCTGTGCGACGTTCCTTGCACGGGCGACGGTACTTTGCGCAAGAACGAAAACATTTGGCGTCACTGGCACGTCGGCGACGGGCTCACGTTGCATCCGTTTCAGCTCAACATTGCGTTGCGCGGCGCGGCGCTGCTCAAAGTCGGCGGCACGATGGTCTATTCGACATGCTCGTTCAACCCGATCGAAAATGAAGCCGTACGTGTCATGCCATGTGTCATCAGGGCGACGTTGGTGGCGCATGGTTCGCTTCCATGGTTTTACCTGATGGATACTCCATGGAAGACCGCGCACGATGACGTGGACGTTCAACGAGTTACCGTTTACCGGTGAAGCATTACGTTAGGTGGTGGCCGAGCTCATTCGAAGGAGCGACGGCGCCCTTCGCCTGGTCGAAGTGGCGCTCCCTGGACTAAAGCACCGTCCTGGCCTGGCATCGTGGCAAGTGGGCTGGCAGTCCAAAACAAAGGCCAAGAAACAGCGCCATCTGTCAAGCGCCGAGCCCACGAAAGATGAGTTGATCGCTTGGTACACCTCGTTTTCCGAGGACATTCCAGCCGACTTGCGCGGCTACCGCTTGACGCGGTCAATGTTCCCGCCGGACGACAACAGCAGTGTCCACCTCGAACGCTGCATGCGATTCCTCCCGCACGATCAAAACACGGGCGGATTCTTTGTCGCTGTACTACAAAAGGTGGCGCCGCTCCCAGGCATCGACCAGCAAGGTCTGGCCAAGAAATGACACGTGACCAAGCTGAACACGAACGTTGTTGAGTAGGCTTACCGGCCTTTGAAGTGAACTCTGCGCTCGGGCCAAAATGTTACAGATACGTGTGCCGGCTGTGCAACCAAACGGGCCACTACATTCAAGACTGCGCTCTGTCTAAAAAGTCGTTGGAAAAGGCAGCCGCCGCCGAGAGTGCTGCAGCTTCAGTTGGCACACCCATCACAGTACCTTCCCTTGGAAACAGTTCGTCCGTTTCCAAGCATTCTCACGCTGTGTCTGGTCAGGAGCCGTTGGAATTGGTCGAGAGCGTTATCACTGACGTCACTCCGATCGACGATACGGCTGCAGGATCTCTGGCGCCCCTTCCGCCGTCGGTATGGGCCACCCTCCAAGACTTTTATGGCTTGCCAACCTCGTTTCCCACGGTGTGTCCGTCCTCGTTTTCAATGGCATCACGCATGGATGCTGTGTAGTCGCAACTGTTTGCTCGATCCCATGGCACGGGCATTGTCACGTACGTATCGTCGAGTGTCCAGGCGGCGTGCTTGGCTGGACCGGATCTGAAGGTGCGTCGACTTGATCTGCTTGGACGCAGGGGTGACTGGGAGTTTTTGTGCAGGTCATCAACACGGGGGTCAAACTCTTTATGAAGTTTTCAACGAGTCACTTCAAAGGGTACCGCCCTGCACAAGTACGTCCTCCACCCCACAACGGGTCGAACCACTGAATCGTGGTCCATCGACAGGACGGACTGGAGCTGCTCATTCCATTCCTCGGGAAACGCAAAGTGTCTTTGGGGTGGTCGGCGTTTCACGAGCTCGTGGCCATCACGACCACGAAATTCTTGGACGACTTGGACACCGCCACGAAGCGACTGTTTGACGGGATGGAAGTTGGCCCTGCCGTCGTGGTGCTGCAACGACAAGCAGCATCGAGTAACGACGTGGCACCTATTGGTCTGGCCATTTGGGTCGGGCACACGAGCCTTTCCAAGCTCGTTACGACATCCGACTTGACCATCTTGGCCGACCACCTCCGTTCCGTCGATGTGTCTGCGTACGAACCGTAGGACGGCTCCTAGGGATACCCAAATCTAACAAGTCAAAAGTGTTACGCTTCAACAACTCTTCAGTCCATGAGCATATTATCGTGGCAGGATTCCATGGACTGAACGACGCATGACGTGCCACTTTGGAGATTGAGCCCTTGAACACGCATTTTCAACAACGACGTGGCGGCAACTCGCGCGTTACTCCGCCACGGGGACATACGCAAGGTCGCCGCAATTGACAAACTGGTTGGTGGACGTGCCTTCATACGGGGCCAACGGGTTGATGCCGGAGAACTCGATGAACTGCGCCATCGTGCGCTTCGTCCCCACCATGAACTTTTCGATCTCGGTCTTGTCGTAGTCGTCACTCGACGTTGGAAGGCCCAACTGCGCGCGGATGCGGCGCTTGGCGGGCTGCTGGAGCTTCCACTTGCGGCCCCAGTCATCGTCCCAAATGTACTTGCGCACTTCAAACCAGTGGTACACAACCATGTGCGTCGGGTAGTACATGTCGTAGCCATGGGTGAAGAGTCGCGCCGCCTTGGAGTACTCTTCTCCGTGAAACAAGTAGGGCGTGTACGGGTCGTTGCGGATGTGCAATGCACACGATGACGTTGAGAAACTGAACCCGCCGGCGAATTGGGACATCAATTGAGGCACTGCGGGGGACTTGACCTTCGACGCTGCGCCATATTGAATCATCGAATCGAAGTCTTCCGTTTCAATGCGGCCATGGCACATCTTGGAGGTGCTGTCCGTCAGCTTTCCGTCCTTAGGCATGCTCGTAGTGGGGTCGGGGTACACGGTGATAACCGCTTTCGGATTCTTGATCGAGTCCCACTGCACAATGAGATCCGTGTCCCAGTGCTTGATGAACAAAATGTGGGAGTCGATCGCCAACACGAACGCGTCCTTCTTTAAGTCGATGCCTTTTTCAGTTTGATATCGCGCGTACGTAGGACCGAGGGCTTTGTTCGCATCGAGGGTATCGTTCCGCTGTAGGCGCAGCTTGCGTTGACAATTCGCTTCACCAACTTTCAAACAATACACATCCATGCATCGTTGTTCACCTAAGTCGAAGCGAAGTTGGTCAAAAATGCTGACGCTGATCAACTCAGGGTGTTCCGCCGTCGTATAGAGCGAGTCCAAGGTCTCGGAGCAGCGAGTCGAGTCGCGGTAATTTGAAATCAGCACCACAATACGCCGCTTTGTCAAGTCCAACGTCGTCAACGGTGGAAGAGTTGCAGTCGTGGTAGAGGTCAGTGTCGTGGATGTCGCTGCGGGGAAACGTTCCTGACGAATGTTGTGCTTTTCAGAGGCCTTGTGCGCGTTGTTGACGACGCTCGCCGCATGTTCGCTCTCCAAGAACGAAAGGTTCATGTACACCATGACACCCATCACGGTAGTAAGGCATACCACGACGGCGAGCTGAGGGAGCGACCTCCGCACATGGAGCCGTCGACTCTGGTGCATCGTGCTCAACGAAATTCTCGACAGTGCAAGGGTAGACACGCGCGAATGATTATCCGAATCCGGTTAAACGGCAGAGGCATTTCGTTTGTTGTAAAGGCCGACTCGACTTCGTAGCGGAACGCAACCATTGCCGGGAACGATGACAGGTCCATGGGAGCTCCAATTGCCTGCAAATGCGATGTGCATGCACTGTGCATGCGCTAATTGGCGATACTTGTGACGGCGTTGTCGGAACGCACGGCAGCGTTCATGTACCAGCTGTACTTGCTGCGGTGTAGAGCTCCGACAGCGTAGAGGTACGATGCAGATAAAAGATAGAGCTCAGCAGGAACTGTGGATTATTCGTCGGCGACCGGGACGTACTCGAGATCTTTGCAGTTGTTGAACTGAATGTCAACTTTGTCGCCGGGGTACGGTGCCAACGGGTCGATACCGGAGAACTCGATGAACTGCGCCATCGTGCGCTTTGTTCCCACCATGAACTTTTCGATCTCGGTCTTGTCGTAGTCGTCACTCGACGTTGGAAGGCCCAACTGCGCGCGGATGCGGCGCTTGGCGGGCTGCTGGAGCTTCCACTTGCGACCCCAGTCGTCGTCCCACACATACTTGCGCACTTCGAACCAGTGGTACACGACCATGTGCGTCGGGTAGTACATGTCGTAGCCATGGGTGAACAGTCGCGCCGCTTTGGAGTACTCTTCTCCGTGAAACAAGTAGGGCGTGTACGGATCGTTGCGGATGTGCAGGGCGCACTCGACGGTCTGGAAGCTGAATCCGCCGGCGAATTGGGACATCAATTGAGGCACCACGGGGGACTTGACAGTTGTGGCAGCTCCGTACTGGATCATGGCATCAGTGCCGTCTGTTTCGATACGCCCATGGCACATCATGGCCGTGTTCCCAGTCAGCTTGCCGTCCTTGGGCTGGCCTTCCGTCGGGTCAGGGTAAACTGTGATGACTGCTTTCGGGTTCTTGATCGAATCCCATTGCGCCATGAGATCCGTGTCCCAGTGCTTGATAAACACCAGATGCGAATCGATCGTCAATGCAAAGGTATCCTTGGTCGGGTCGATTCCATGTTCGGTCTGGTACCGCGCATACGTGGGTCCGATGGCCTTGTCGGCATCGATCGTGTCATTGCGACGGAGACGCAGCGAGCGTTGACAATTGGTGTCTCCTACTTTGGCACAGTACACGTCCATGCATCGCTGTTCTTGCAAGTCGAATCGGAGTTGGTCGAAGATGCTGACAGAAATAAGATGAGGGTGTTCCGCGTTCGTAAACAGCGAGTCGAGAGTTTCTGCGCATCGCGTCGAGTCGCGGTAGTTGGCGATCAGGACGACGATGCGTCGTGGCTTGACTTCTTCTGTCGTGACAAGCGGAGTCGCGTCGTTTCGTCGTCGAATGTTGGGGTGTCCGTCGCGCTCGCTAAACTCTTGCGCCTCACGTTGGTTGATCGCCAACATGGACAAGTTCATGTAGACCATCATACCCACAACTACGAGGAGCGCCATCGAGACGATGTACCTTGGACTCGACCATTTCGATGGTGCTGATCGGCGCGAATTCATTGTCAGCGTCCACCCGCCCCTTCGCTTGCAAACCTGACACGTGACGCGGGCGGAATCATCTGGTTATCCGAATACCATCCGGAACGGCTACTCCCATTATCCTATGCAATTCAATAACCTTTATAACTGTATCCAAATGTCAGTCACGACAATACTGTATATTTCCAAGTGGTCGCCCACAGTGTCTGACGTGCGGAAGATCGAAGTCGACAACGCTCGGACATGCACACCCCCATCAAACAGTCGTCCCAACGCCACATACACGCCGCCCTGGAACTTATCCAAGAGTGTCAACGACTACGACAAGATCGAGTTGGGTCTCGGTTGGCACGATGCGCACGATGAAACGAGTCTTCGAGTATACAGAGATTGACCTGAACGCGTTGTAAATCGACAACAACGAGCACCAGTTCGATGTGCGCCCGCTCGAAGACGTTGGAGTTTGGTACGTTGAACCCCGGAAAAAGCCGAAACCCCCCAAAATAGACGACCACCTCGACAACACGGTCTGTTTTACAATATTCTATCATCTGAATTTCTCAATACCATTTCAGACATGTCATTCCTCTTGACCAATTGTAGATACAATAAAAACTGAGATTGACTGACTGAAATTCACCTAGTTATAGCCAATGAAATTGGACTATTTTACTCAATATTACTTTTTTTAAGATTATTCTTCTTCTATTCTTTTCCGAATGATCGCATGTCGGCATTTTCCAGCGTTCACTGTACGATACTACTAGTGCACTGATCGTTCGAACGAGTTCACAATGTGTCATCCATCGAAATGTTGGCGTCCCTACTTCCTCAGGCTGCCGAAGGTTTATGATGTTCGTGACCTTTTGCGCTAACCCCCTGGACGACATTATCGACCAAGGCAACGGTCATGGGAGATGTCTGAGCTAGTCTTTGCAGCTGGTACGTCAGCGAAGGTCGTGGATAAAACCTTGCTGTCGGTACTTGGTCGGGTGTATGGTATTGGTGAGTACAGTCGGAGTGTGCAAACGTACTGTGCTGAGGGGGGGGCGCTCTCCAACCCAGCACTACTAAACTGATGTTGGTGGTTGCGATTGCCGTCGCGATGGCACCTGGGGTGGCAGACGCGCAATGGTGAATGCGCCGAGGTAGCGATGCTGGAAATGGATGCCTCGCTGTCGCAACGTTCACGGCAGACACCACATCCAATGCCCTCTCTATAATGGCTATTTCGCTGTCGATCCGTGTGGTATGCATTATCAACTTTGGCGCTATCACCACCCCAGCCACAGCGTGACACACAGCCCCGTCGTCTCCACACCTGTATTGCCTTGGTGTTGGTCCAAGATCGTATCATGCCCCATGAGACGCCCACACTACACTCTGATATTTTAAACTCACAGAAACCTCACTTTGTAGTCAAGTGGTGTACAGGAAAGATTGTTCTCGAGCATGAAGCGCTTTCATCGGAAACACAAACCCGTGACAGGGGGAATTGAACTTACGCTTACCAGTACATGATCTGCCGTGGCGCAATATGTCAAAGACCTCACCACAATAGAACAAGAGCACAACTGAGCACATGTCAAATCGCTTAAAATCTCCAGGTGTCAAGAATGTGCTACAGATTGTCCCTGATTTATTATAATACCTTAAAACGAGTCGTTTGTTCCGGTCTTGTCAACAAGGATTTTTGATTTCGCTTCGCAGTCGCGACCGTCAAGGGGTATTATGTCAAACTGCATAAAAAGTTGTATGATGCGGTGTATATACAGCGTTGCTTGCAGAATAAACCCATATCCTTCGATATAACTGAAACTACTCGC